GGACTTAATGTCTTGCCAGTTTCCCAACCTGCTTTACCAAATAAATTATGTATGTATGTATGTAAAATTCCATTTGGTTGAGTCACAATTCTGGGAATTTTCGGAAGTATAAACCGCCTCAGTTAATGGTTAACTGGCTTAAGCCAGTCAAGTATTAACTTTTAATCGGGTTATCTAAACAGTGAAGTCTTTGATCAGTGTATTGGTGGTAATGGACAGCTGTTATATTTTGTTAATATATATTTTTTAATAGTATATTCAGATGTGTTTATTGATGCATGCACTTCACAAGGTAATTAAAAAGTCATTATAAGTAGAAAATTACATTATCATGCTTGTCATTGTGTAAGATGAAAATGTTTTTGCCAACTTGTCATCATTTGTTATGATTATAATTACTCATAAATGAATCTACAATAACTTATAACTGATTTGTGTTGGGTGGTCCGGAATTCAACTCCTCCACGTCTTGTACATAGCCAACTGATCAGCCCCCAACTAGTTGGGATTTTTTAACAACTTTCTTTTTATTTGCACTATTTTGTTGTTTATAAATTTTAAAAGGGTCACAATCAGGGGTGTCATTGAATGTTTTCAGCAGAAGGGCAACTGGTTTAAACAGGCAGGCAAAGTGTTTTGATTTGAACTTCTTCATAAGAAAAAAATTCCTTAGATCATCCAACCAGGCTGGCGAAATCATCCTCACATTCAGTGAATTTTCCCGGCCCTTATTATGAAACCCCTCCATAATGTAAACTACTGTTCCTGTACGTATCCCCTTTGTGACTACATGTAGGTATTGCGTAAGGCCTCTACAGGGCACCTCCATTTTTTCGCAGTCTGTTGCTGCGAAATAAATATGAACTACTTGAGACACCAGTAAGTTTGTATAAACCTTATAAAATTTTTTATTTATTTCTATTATTATATAGGATTGTGAAGAAGCGAGGAAAGGTTGTTGCTCTTGAGGAAGAGATCCAAGGTAATGATTTGCGCCACACCTTGTGCTATCATGATGAAATGAAGTTTACAAATTAAAATTAAGCCTGGTTTTTATACTCGTGGATTCTGAGAAATGCAAGTGCAAAAACAAGAACATATTAAGTAGTGATCCAGATAAGAACTGTAGCATTTTCTGTTGTTCTGCGGCAATACGCTTTCCCCACATTGAAATGGTTGTGTTTCCATACAGAGAATGTATCAACCGATGGAAAGCAGGTTTATGAAATAATATGTATTTAAACTCTATTTTGAAAGGTAGTTTCCTTTGTGTTAAAACATTTCAACCAATCACAACAGTCCTAAACAAAGACAATAAAAGCTTCCAATTTTCGAATGTTCACCACATAGGATTACTGTGATATTTAGACTCAAAAGAGGTTTTGTTGAAAGGAAGATAGTTGATCAATTTCGGATAAATGTATATCGAGCTACCTGAAGTTTTGGTAGAGTTTGTTGATTGAACCAATCAGAAGTATGATACAACAATAGCAAAGTTGCACAAAAGTTAGCACCTTTTTGCATTCCTTGCTGCGTGGNAAAGAAATAAGCGGCCTGTCTCAAATAGGAGCCCTCCCTTGAGGCACCAAAAGCAAATACATGTAAGCGCCCTGGGCACTAAATCGATTCATTATGGTGTACAGTGTAGATGTACTGTGCACTAACATTGCTCTCTTTGCCATCATCCTGTGGTTCAAACTGCTCACTGACCCACACAAACTTTTTGTCAATCTTGCCAAGCAGCTGCAACCCAGGTCCCAGCTCTGCCTCAGGATCATCTGTCTCCACTGTAGTGCTGACAATAGCCAGGTATCTGCCTTTGACGGTGACAGCATTGGTGTGCGACATGCAACACACGTAGATATCTTAAAATGGAAACACAACCAAATCAACCAATATAATTATAAATTATTATCCAACTGCAGCAAATACCGTGCAAATAACAGTACAAACATACAGCGATATTGTTCAGTTATTTGTACAGTAGAAAACCTGTTTGCCATACAGGTTGGCACGTGCACGCAAAACTATCACACTTTCCTTCTTTTCAGTGATAAATTTATTGACTACAGCAGTTGGATAATAAATCTCTTATTAGATGTTGTGGTGTGTAATATCGCTTTATATTTTTACTTGCTGTTTGTATTTTGACTCGCCTATGGGCTCATTTAAAATACGGCACAACTCGTAAAAATATGCAGCGACACTACACACCAAAACATCTAATAAGATATATATATCATCAAAATATATTGCACAGACTGTATAGTTTAGAGAACATAGCTAGTCAATCCATACAATTTCCCCCTCAAGGGAAGAAAACACTACTTTGAAATAGCAGTGGTCCCTGCAGAAGGGAATGGAATTTCCTGGGGTGTGGGGGAGGGGTTCTCTAAGACCAAAACATTCAAAGAAATATACGAAGCTCAACTGGAATTTCCCGGGGGGGGGGGGGGGGGGTCTTGGAAAAATCTTTTCCATGGGAGAGGTATGGATATTTTCTGGAACTACACATTATTAGTAAAGTAAACACATAATCCTGTATATTGATGGCCAGACCTAAAAGGGAGCACCCTGAAAATGAAGTTAATTATTGAACAAGATTTAAGTGTGTTGTTTTTGTTGGAGCAGGTGGCCGGTAGTTCTCTTTTCTAAAGAATCAGACTTCACTAAGTGTTATCACAGCAGAGTAGCCAGGCAAGATCATGATGTAGATAGTGACTTTCCCTTGCAACTGAATTTTTTGGATGACATTAACCCTGGTTTCATTTTTGTTGGAACAATAATTATTTCAACAATTTATTTTCAAAATGACAATATTTTAACTCTAATTTGGAGGCTAAATTAAACGGGATTGGTTTTGGCTAACTGACAGAAAAAATTCAGAATTTGGTGTGTTCAAAATGACTGAGTTTGAAACGGCTGATAGTGTGTGAATGAAAACCAGATTCACAGTAAAAAAGAGAATGCTCTGAAAGCAGTTAAAACTAAAAACTAAAAAATAACTGAAGTTTTGGTCTGACATTAAAGAAGGAGCATCACTCAAAGACATGTTTACAACTGTAATTCCAGCACTGAGGTAGTTAGGTCACGCAGTAGAATACAAGGACTTTGATTTTTAAATGAACAGGCAACAACGGGAATGTATCAAGATTGTGTTTACTCTTTAGCAAACAGGTGCTTGTATCTTATCAATATTCAGATCATGCTTAGTCACCAAAGAAGAGACACTGAATTTGATTTTCAAGGAAAAGCAAAGAAAAATGTTTTAATTCTGCAAAAAAGATCCGATCTTTCTTCGAGAAATGGCGGTGTCTTCTGTAAAGTGAATGTTTATGAAAACAGGATAATTGACAATCAATCAAGAGGACTACATTAAATTTTCTTTGTGTACTCATGCAAGCAATCGTATTTGATCTTCATGTTTAGCAACAAGAAGGACAGCTGTTTGACCGTATTTACTTGATATGTACCCCGATTATGATGACACAGACCAAGAATGTTACAAAACTCAGTTCACCACTCTTTAAATCATGGGTATTAGGTCTGATCGGATGAGAAGCGTTTTGAAGTGTAGATCGATATATTCACAAGCCTGTAGATTACCTGCAATTGAAACGCGACAAACTAAATTAAGTAGAAGACATCTGTTATGATCAAACTTACCCGACTTTCGGTTGACTTGATTTTGAGGGATAATCAGCTGGCAGGATTTGGAGTCACTAGTATTTGGAATCGGGTGGGAAAGAATGCATATACATCGAACGACTTGACCAATTTTTTTCACCCTCTCGGGAAAATACGACGGGTCAGCGATGACAGCCTTTGTTTTGGCAATCTCTCCTTCCGATTTCACTCCACAAACTGCACCGTTTTCCATGAGGATTTCATCTGTGGGTTTGTTCAGCATGTAGATCCCTCCGTACACGGCTGACAATCTGGCAAATCCCTGAGGCAACTCACCGAGGCCATACAGAGGATACAAATAGGGGCATTTACCGTAGCGAGATAAGGAATCATAATAGAGTTTTATACGTCGTAAAGGCTTCTCGCAAGGCTGTGTCATATACTCATCATCCAAGTACAAAGCGATGGCGTGTCCTGTGAAATCCTGCGTGTTCTTATCAAGGCCGAACTTCGTGTACACATCTTTCATAGTGGATGTCTTCGGGTTGATGTCCTCCCATGTCGTTGGATCGTCGCAGCTGTACTTGAGCACAAACAATAGGAATGCTCGAAAACGTCGCTTCTCAAAAATTCCCATCAGACTAGACGTCAAGGCTTCCTTTTCGTCGGCAGGAACTTTGTATATGGAGCCTCCGCGATAGACAAAGCTTCCCTCGATCTGTTTGAACTGCATGTACCGTGTTACACCAGTATGGACTAGCAACTTGACAAGCGCTCCATCCGCCATCAAAAACTTGGGAACTAAATCAATGTTCCAGTCACGGCCATTACCAAACGAGTCGTCCGGTTCTTTAGTTTCGTTGAATTTTTCGTAGAGCTTTTCAAGCGGGTGCATCGAAGTGCTCTCACCTCCATAGAAATCGTTCCGATCCATGTGGAGAACTTTTTTGCCGCCAACCGACAAAACGCCGCTCAGAATACATTCTTTCAGTCCAGTACCGAGGATAACATAATCGTATTCTTTATCCATGATAATACCTGTGGAATTGACCAAAAGGGAAAGAAATCAATGCGATATTCTGTCTAAGACATAGAATGAATGGGTGTTCCACCGGCTAAAATGAAGTTGTTGACAAATTTTCTTCGGTTCTTACACCAATTTCTATTGGGCGATGAAACTAGTAGCCAATCATAGCTCGGTTTAGAAGTTTAGAGGCTCACAAATTGAGCGCGTGACCGCTGAAAAGCATATAGTTTGGCTCATATAAGATAGTTATATGTGATTGGATGAGCTGATTGTACATTTTATTCCTTTTGTTCATTTATACCAATCACAGCTCGCCTTAGATGATGAACGCGTACGCGTGAAATGAAGGTTGTCCCAGACAAACTTCACGAGATTTTTCTTCTTACTTGTGGTGACACTCTTTTTTTCCGAAGCACTTTTCTGTGCCACTGAAAACGTCAGACATCACTCTCGTGTTACTACTTGTATAACAAAGATTTTGTAAATCTAGTGACTGAATTTTCATCATGTGTGGTAAGTTAAGATTCAGTTGTAAGCTTACTTCATACAGGGACTTCCTTCGTTTCCAAGAATATTAATTTCCGCCATTCGATCTAAGCCCAAGCCTCAAATTCTTGTGAGCACATGTTGAATACATAATTTTCCCCGTTTCTTAATCGACATTGCTTCTTCTCTTTAGGGATATTTGCATATCTAAACTTCTGTGTTCCACGAAAAAGGAAATACATTCTGGAACTTCTGATCAGTGGTCTTCAGCGACTGGAATATCGAGGTTACGACTCTGCAGGTTTGTTCATTTTGTTCCGTCCGATCTCTTCCTCAGTTGTTTTGTCGTTGTGTACTCTAATCACTCATTGTTCTGTTTTACTACAGGAGTTGCATTCGACGGAGTTGGAAAAATGAGGTAATTCTTGCATCAGGTTTTAGAATTGCCCACTCCGATTAATGGGACATAAATTCGAGTATAACTAAATAAACTGTCGTATGCCACAGCACAAAACTCGGATTGTTGCTCGCATTGAACTTAAGCTTACTTGTTTCAAAGGTCTCTTGATTTCAAATAATGTCAACCCGAGGAAGAATCGTAAAGGTTTTACTTCCCTTAGCTACAATTGCTAAAGTATAGTACAGTTTTTTGTTGTGTCTCATGATTATTCATCGTGAGATTGCCAACGTGGACTACCATGTAAATAACGTCTTCGTATCCAAGTGCTTTTTATGCAGTTGGTAGGAATGTCGTAAATCTTTTTATCCTTATTGTTTGTTTTAAGGTTACAGTATACCCTCGAGTCGGCAATTTTCTTCAAATTTGGCTTTTTGGGTCAAAGTGTTGGTCGAAGATTAATCTCTAATTTCTGAAAAAAATTTTTGAAAAAGGCGAAATACTGGGGGGAAAATGGCGGTTTTTCTTTTTCTTCGGAAGTAAGAGTTTACTTCTTGATTGACAGCCCTATGGTGCATATGCAATCAACCGAGACGATTTTCTCGAGAATTACCTGTATGGATGTCACGAATTGACTTCTCAGTTGATCAGTCCTGTTGTTCCAACTACCAAGCATTCTGGTATTAGGTGTAACTTACTCTATTAAGTTATAAGTAAACATAGACCACGTTAAAAACATAAACCACCTTGAAAAAGTAGAAGACAGGGAAGAACAAATGAAAATAGAGCAATGAATGAAGAAGCGAAAGTTCGCAACATGGATGAAACTATAGCTATCATATAAGGCGTGAAAAAAAATCACGGTAAGAGAAAAGAAAGGTTCTGTAAAAATTTTGGAACTTGACAGCAATAACAGGGATGTTGACAGAGACTCTTCTGATGAGTCTGATATCCACGAATCGTCAGATTCAATAAGACCATTTGAAATATTATCCATGCACAGTTGAGCACACACAGTTGCTCCACAGTGCTTTCTTTTGTTTGTTTTCTTCGCCCAGCCACTCTAGCATTCTTATCCTTTTTAGTCTTCCCCATTTTGTCAGACCAGCTTCAAGAAAAACCAAGCTACAGAAAAATTATTTCTCCTCCTTTAGCGCCTCGAGAGCGTTGCAAAACACAAGGGTTTTTTGGAGATTTGCACGTAGATTTCACCAGGAGGTTAACGGTAGTAACTTTCCCTCCACTGATTGGCTCAATTATCTGAGAACCCAGTTGAAGGCGTTTGGGGGCGGAGTTTGTTTGTAAAGCAGAAGATTTTTCTTAGCGCTGTTTCCTTGAATAAATTTTTTCGCTTGAAGCAGGTACTTTAAAAAGTTATAACTCAAAGGGAGTTTGTTCAATTGCCCTCAAATTTGGACAGTAGCTAGTTTAACATATAACCTACAGAAATGTGTCTGTGAATTGCAAATTTCAAAATACTCCTTCTTCGAGAGCGATTTTTTTATGATCACTCCACATTTTTTTAATCCCATTTCGAAAATGTTCTTTAACTTTTTACTGCAATTGAATATGCCAAAACGCAGACACTTTTTTTAAGCGCTTTGGACCCTGAAACCGAGGAAAAAATTAAATAGGCAAAAAACAAAATTCGCTTTGACTTGTAACTTTCAAAAGGTGATTCGGGTGCTCACATTTAGGGTCGTGAAAAATTCGACAATTCATTTTATTTCAAAATTCTTGGTANCTGTACGTATCCCCTTTGTGACTACATGTAGGTATTGCATAAGGCCTCTACAGGGCACCTCCATTTTTTCGCAGTCTGTTGCTGCGAAATAAATATGAACTACTTGAGACACCAGTAAGTTTGTATAAACCTTATAAAATTTTTTATTTATTTCTATTATTATATAGGATTGTGAAGAAGCGAGGAAAGGTTGTTGCTCTTGAGGAAGAGATCCAAGGTAATGATTTGCGCCACACCTTGTGCTATCATGATGAAATGAAGTTTACAAATTAAAATTAAGCCTGGTTTTTATACTCGTGGATTCTGAGAAATGCAAGTGCAAAAACAAGAACATATTAAGTAGTGATCCAGATAAGAACTGTAGCATTTTCTGTTGTTCTGCGGCAATACGCTTTCCCCACATTGAAATGGTTGTGTTTCCATACAGAGAATGTATCAACCGATGGAAAGCAGGTTTATGAAATAATATGTATTTAAACTCTATTTTGAAAGGTAGTTTCCTTTGTGTTAAAACATTTCAACCAATCACAACAGTCCTAAACAAAGACAATAAAAGCTTCCAATTTTCGAATGTTTCCCATGTAGGATTACTGTGATATTTAGACTCAAAAGAGGTTTTGTTGAAAGGAAGATAATTGATCAATTACAGAGAAATGTATATTGAGCTACCTGAAGTTTTGGTAGAGTTTGTTGATTGAACCAATCAGAAGTATGATACAACAATAGCAAAGTTGCACAAAAGTTAGCACCTTTTTGCATTCCTTGCTGCGTAGAGCTTTCCTTATTATATGAATCATTACTTAAATTTCTAAACACCTTGATCTTTGTGTAAGCGCATGTTGAAAAGAAATTTCCGATAAGCGCACTCCTGAAAGAATGCCCAATTTCCTTCCACAATTTTTGAAGAGAATTTTCTCTAGAGCATCCTTTTTTAAGACCATTGGTAGTGGTTATTTACAGGTGTACGGTGCATAATAATTTATTTTTGATCAGCAAATATACTTGTAATATAATGTTTAGTTCCGGGAAAGATTCACGTGCATGTTTGTATTCTGATGCCAGATTCATAATTTTAGGCCTTTTTTAATCAACCATAAATCAACCATAAATCAACAATGCCATTTTTTTGTTTTCCAGGTCAAAGTGAATTTGACATAGATGAGGAACTTCCTATTCACTGCGGTATTGCACATACACGTTGGGCAACACATGGTGAACCAAGTGGAGTTAACAGTCATCCCCAAAGATCAGACGTGTCAAATGGTGAGCCAGCTGCCTTCTTGTTTGTAAGCCACACCATTTGCCAATTGGTTCTAAATATACATTTCTTTGCTTGTCATCACCTCTTAAAGCTGCAAACAATATAATGACAACTTGACCGTAAACCTTTGGTAGGTAGGTTTGAAATACTTAGTGCTAACTTTTACAAATTATCCACTGTCAGTACTGTCTGCAGTGTACAGTCAAACATCCTCTTACAGACACCTCCATAGTACAGACACCTATATTAACGGCAGTTAACTGAGTCCCAGCAAAACCTGAATTCATATATCAATCTCTTCCTCTTTAATGCGACCCCCTCCATCAAAAGGACACATCAGATCTTCCCCTTTGGTGTCCTTTAGAGGTTGGTCTGAAGGCCTCTAAGATTAATGATTTTGATTATAATTACTGTTTTCTGTTGTGATCTAATAGAATTTGTGGTAGTTCATAACGGAATTATTACAAACTACAAAGATATAAAGAAATTTCTGGTAAGAATTATGTGCAAGTACAGTTATGTTATTATTAGTTGATATTTTAATTACATAATGATATGATTGTTTAAACAAATAAAATTCTCTATTTTATTAATTATAAATTTCAAGTCTCCAGATAATGAGGGATGCACAAAGAGTAGAAATCTAATTTCTGCACTTTGAAAGACTCAAAATTCTTTGTCTTGAATTTTGACTTTTTAAACTTGTTCTTTAACACACAATGTACCATCAGTACATGGGGTATAGTTTGTGTCATTTTCCACTGATCCTTTGTTTGTTTTGTGATCATTGTTTTTATTGCCATTTACAGCACCGTTAGAATGTGTGGTCAGCCAGCAATTTTGCTCTCTACCTCACACTAGCTGGTGTTCATTAATGCTGACTAGCAACATATCCATAGAGCTCTAGTCTTTACTGGCTGTTAATTACAATAATTACTAATAGAGCAGTTTTCTATTGAGTTTTGAAAGTAATCAGGCAATTATTTTCATTGGTTTTGGCTTTACGATGGTTGGAGATTGGCTGAGTAGTCTAATTGGTTAGTAATTGGTTTGGTTTTATTTTTACGACACTCAATTGAAAACCGCTCTAATTACAATGATCATAATTACTTAATACTGGTAAATTATAGTTCCGTTTCCTTTCCCTCTATCCTAACTCTTTGTACATTGTTTAACCTACGTTGTTAATTTTAGTGTACTTTGGTTTCTCTTTCTTCTATCCATTGATAGCTTTTGAACCTCTAGTATTTCTGTGTTCATTTTGTTATCACTGAGCTCTTGGTCACTTTCTCTTTAACAGGAAACCAAAGGATTTCACTTTGAGTCTGAAACAGATACAGAGGTTATTCCTAAGCTGGTGAAGTATTTCTATGACAAAACGGTAAATTTTATCTTCTTTGATCATCTTGTAGCAATTGAAAATAAAATAACTTATTAAAATAAATATTGTCTCTTCCATTTGTTAATTTATATTATTTCCAGTAATATTTGTCTTGTTTTCATTTTGTTTTCAACAGAAAAAAGAAGGCCAAGACTTGGAGTTCAGAGAGCTTGTGGAGATGACAATACAACAACTGGTGAGCTCAGAATTTTAATTGTACAGTATTTGTTGTTGGTCATTGACCAACTGGGCAACAAAGTTTTAAGTGACACTGGATCAAGCTGTCTGCACTTAAGCCCTGCTTGGCTGCGTTTTGATGGTTAATCTTTGGGTGAGACACAGTGGCCTTGTGATTCGTGCGCTTGACTCCAGATCAAGCAGTCTGGGTTCATGCCCTGGCCAGGGACATTGTGTTATGTTCTTGGGCAAGACACTTTACTCTCACAGTACCTTTCTTCGCCCACGTGTATAAATGGGTACCAGTGACCTTAATGCTGGGGGTAACTCTGCGATTGACTAGCATCCCATCCAGGGGGGAGTCAGTAGAAATACTCCTAGTGGCTTCATGTTACAGAAAGCAGGATAAGCTCTGGCCTGATGGGCCACTTGGCTCATATTATGCAGACTTTACCTATTTTAGGGGGTGAGACAGAGCTCAATGTTGCAACCGTTGGGGTCACCAATGCAACCAAAGTTTTTTCACTGGTGACTAACTTTCCTTGCTTTTCACTGAAATACTTTTGCTGGCGACTAAAGCTGAAAACTTAAGAGCCAGCAGACCCCAAGGATTTTTCCCGAAAGTGGCGACCTGTGAGACATTATCCTCCAACTCTCTACAGTAGGAGATAAATAAACAGTCCCAGTGGAAATGAAAATGCTGCCGGAGAGGATGGTCACCTATGGGGATATGGCTAGCATCATATCCACAGAAAATTCTCTTTGTTCCACTTTGTAGTTAGTAATGATAAAGTAAAAGAAAAGTAGAGGATGTAGTTACACAGTATTGTGTTTTGCTTTAATTGAGTAATGCACATTTTTGTTGTGTATGTGTTTAAGTGGGGAATTCCACAGAAAATGTAACTGCCAACAACATATATCAATTAATTTGCAGTTGCCAGAGTGCCTGAGGTGACGGCTACTGACAGTTCAGACAAGTAACTTAGTTATAGCTGTTGGTGGTTATGTAAACCAGATGCTTGTGAATTTATTTGTGGTGTATGTTTCATTTCACAGGAAGGAGCATTTGCACTTGCTTTCAAAAGCACCAAGTTTCCAGGGGAAATAGTGGCCACCAGGTTTGTTGCTGTATATAGCAGTATGATCACAGAGCTCGAAAAAAACTTGGACTCCAGCTTGCCCTTCCATTCGGACAAGTAGCTCTCAGATTTTGCTTGCCCTGGGCAAGTCTTAGTTTACTTTTTATTAATTTAGTTGTCTGATTTGACATACAGTACCTGAGTCCTTGCCCATTGGACAAATGACAATGTTACTTAAGATACTTGCCAGAAACCTACATGTGCTTGTCTCAGATGACTGGACAGCACTTTGTTCAAGCCCTGTTAGTTATCAAGAGATATTCTTTAAGCCCCATTATTATGTGATATTTTTTGGAAATTATGTACACTTGAGGACTGCTCAGGTCTGTTAAATGATTGTCCGGGGTTTATCAGCATGCATACTTCAAAAAAGGAGTCGTGTCATTATAAGTGCATGCAAGAAATACACTAGCGTAATTATAATTATTGACTCCAATTTCTTGAGTTAGTACCCAACATTGGCTATCAAAGAAACATGCTGTTCATCCAAATTCTCTGAAGGTTCCATTTTGCAGTTAGCATCCTCTAACTTTTCTAAGAATTTTATTACGATAAGTGCTTTTTCGAAAGTTAATTATCTAGAGTTTAAAAGTTCTGAATTTTATTTGGCTGGCATGTTAAATTAGTTCAAAAAAAAAGAATGTCAATGTACACTAACTTCACATCCAGATCCAGGATACATTTTTCCTGGAATGACTAATGACTTGTTTTGAGAGAAGAAATTATTTTTAGCCTTGTTTACATAACCTAACACATTACAGATGTTGTGTACTGTGCACTGTAATGACAGATTTGATAAACTGATCAGAATTTGTTTTGTCTGCATGTTTTTTTTTTGTTTTGTTTTGTTTTTAAGACGAGGCAGTCCGTTACTCATAGGAATAAAGAGTCAGTTTCCCTTGAAAACAGACCGATTGCCAGTTGTCTACAGTTCAGGTTGGTCGTTATATGATGCCTTTATTCTATGTCATCATCACTGCCCTGAGAATTGTAAAATTACACCAAAACTACATGTTCCTGTAAGTTGAAGTTTGATTGGGATTCTATAGAGTCATCGAACTGCACCAAGGGATCACATACCTACAGTAGGGCAATCCATGATATTAATATGATATATAGATAGATACTGGCACCTGGTTAGACCCACCCATTTACCTTTGGTGCTACCGACATTACAGTTCCTAAACAGTCCAGTTTACTTTATGGTGAAAAGACTGTGACATTTGGCTGTACATAGCGGTTATGCACATGTGTCTAATGTGATCCCTTGGTGCAGTTTGATGACTGGATAGAATTGCAATCAAATTTCAACATTGAAAGCTGCGCTTTGCTGGCCATGTTATTATCCTAGTGGCTTCATGCTACCAAAACCAGTGGAAAGTAAAACACTCTCACTGATAGTCACAAAACTGGACTGGATTTTACCTCCAGGCTTAGTACATGTTACCATCATTTTTTGCAGATAATTCATCTGACGTAGAACCTGAAGCAGTTGACTCCACATTTGCTACAATGAATGGTCACAGCTGGTCAAGTTTGGTTTCAAATAAGGACAGCCCAATTGAATTTTACTTTGCATCAGATGCAAGGTATGTTAAATAAAAGGCTTGATATTGCTTCATTGATATTCTGAAATCATCTTTTTGAAAGAAAAATTAAAATTTGTTTTGTTACCCAGCCATGGAATAGTTACAATTGTCATCAGGAAAAAAGTTCTACATCTAGCTTATGTTAGTGCTTAATTTTGATTTTATTACAATATACATGTAATATCAGCTGTATTGTCATTTGAATACCAAACTTAACTCAATTTTAATTACTGTTATACAGCGCTGTTATTGAACATACTAACAGAGTAATCTATCTGGAAGACGATGATGTCGCTGCCATCAGCAGTGGAAGTGAGTGGCAAAAAAGATATGCAAAAGTTATTGTTTAGAAACCATACATGTAAATTTAAAATGTTAAGTCAGACTCACATTATTTAACCATGACTGGTTCCAGATTTGTCAATACATCGCATCAAGTATGGAGATGCATCTGAGGAGAATTATTTCAGGGAGGTACAAACCCTGCAGATGGAGCTGCAGCAGATCATGAAAGGTGATGGGCACAGTTGCTAGTCAAACTTGTACTTGTTACTATTAACTAAAAACAATTTAATTGTAACTCATTTTGATATAATTATAAGTAATTATTGATATAATTCTAATTATTTATGATTATAACAATGATTAATAATATTAAGACAAGCATTCTGCAAGCATTTTGATGTGGTATTTACTGTGATTCATTGTTATTTTTAATGTAATTATGATTAAAGATCATATAATTCTAACTAATTTTGAGTATAATTAATAATAAATATTAAAGCAAGCATTCTGTGAGAATGTTGATGCGGTATCTACTGTACTTCACTGTAATTTTAAAGTGTTGGGAACACCAGGAAAGTTGTTAGATGCACTGAGTAGCTATGATTTTACATTGTGAAAAAAATGATCATTTACCTTTAGGAAACTACAGCTCCTTTATGCAGAAGGAAATATTTGAACAGCCAGAAAGTGTTGTGAACACAATGAGGGGCCGAGTAAACCTGGAATCAGGAAGTGGTAATTTTATTCTCTAATTATTATAATTAATAATTGTTGTTTCTTATTTTTACAGATTTCATTGAATTCTTTTATGGAAACAATTAAATTATGAGCTTGAGATTTCATTCATGTGACAGTCGACAATGGCGCAACCCTACTCAACTATCATGCATAGAAATCAAGAGCAAATGATCTAATAACTACAAGTTGTTTGAAACTTTTTCCTAAATTGTCTGCCATTTTGTTGACAACCAGACATGTATGTACTGCTAGGCTACCAGCTATCTACGACAGAATAGGCAGTAAGTAGTGTAGCCAATCAGGGAATGACATTCATGATAGAACATTGTCTGGTAGATTTATTAAGTTACTCTTTCATTCTAATAGAATTTTTTATTAATAATATTTATTGTGACAGTGCGACTTGGTGGTCTGATGTCTCATATTGATACAATTCGCCGATGCCGTAGGATACTGATGATTGCCTGTGGCACAAGTTTTCACAGTGCTTTAGCTGTAAGTATGTCAACAGTACTGGAATGAAATACCATTTTCAGCTGCATCAATCTCCCTTGTGCTTGTACAGCCACACATGCTATTTCAATATTGACAAAAAAGCGTGAAAAGTATTCATTTGAGAAGCTATCCAAGCCCAGGTTTCTTTTTCAGTATCTGTTTTTGGTGTTTCTGTTTCTACCTCTATTTAGCATAAGTTGAGCTTTAATTTAAATGTTAATTTCAAGCCAGCTAAATACTGTATCTTCTTTTATGATAACTGCAGAAATTCTTGCGCACTCATTGGCTAATTTTCATTGTCAATGTAGACAGACACATGAATTTACAATTTATGCGATGCGTCAATGAGTGAGAGTGAGTGCGAGAGCGGACAATTTGACAATTTGTTATCGTAAAAAACAAATGCGGTTGACAATGAATCTCGTCATAACATCGTCAAAGTAGTCTGCGGATCCACTCACCCATGATGAAATTCATGATCAGTAACAGAACAGAAGCATGAAAAACTGACATCAATTTGTTAAATCACAAGACTGAAATTAACTTGTATTAGCAAATTAGTGAATTGTTTAATTAATGTTAACTATCGATCATTTCAACGACAGACAAGGCAATTGTTGGAAGAGTTGACAGAGTTGCCAGTTGTTGTAGAACTGGCCAGTGATTTCCTTGATCGATCGACACCAATCTTCAGAGATGACGTTTGCTTCTTCATCAGTCAATCAGGTAATCATTTGTTCATTGTAAGCCCTAACTTAACCCAAACATTTTGTTAAGAAGTTTGCTTTTGTTTAGTGAGAGAGTGAAAGTTTTGATTATAGTACAGGGTGTGTACAGTAACTCTAGCGTAAGTAGGATGGAAAGCCCACAGGAGTTGTAAGAAAAGAGTGCTGGAAGTGGACAGCAACATAGGTGAGGTCCATAATGACTCAAAATAAAGATGTTCCATTCTGATTTTAAAAAGGATGTTAAAACAGTACTGATCAGAAGAAACCTAACAGGGAACCCTTGACAGAACATGTTCTGTTGCCGTTCCACACGTGTTCCTGTTCTTTATCCATGCCGTATCCGTTCTGTATCTGTTCCGTATCCGTTCCCTATCTGTTCTCTATCCATTCTGTTCTGTTCCTGATAGTGTAACTTACTAGCATGCGTTCTGAAGAAGGCATTCTCTTATAGTTTGCGTTCTAGAGAACCACTTTTTCCATTTTTTGATCTGTTACTGTTCCATATCCATTCTGTATCCGTTCCATTTCCGTTCGGTATCCATTTGGTATCCATTCTGTATCCGTTCTGTACTCGTTCCGTTTGAGTTCTTGTACCCGTTCTGTATCCGTTCTGTACCCGTTCGCAAATGCGTTCCCTGTTAGGTTTCTTCTGAGCGGTACTGTATCCACATGAGTCATCTTGACCAACAAGCTCGGTCAATCATGAATTTAGTAACATGCAGGACACAGCAAGCAATAATTTTTGCGATCAGGCAAGATAGCCCCATCATACCTTCTTGGGCAGCCAGTTACAGTGCAGGATTTCGGGAATATCTTGGAGGTAGCCATATAATCATAAATAAATTATTATTACTGACAGTAAATAAATCCCTAGTGTTATGATTTCAGTGCATGGCAAGCTACTGTGTCACAAATGTTGCAAAATTTATGTATGTCAATGCCGCATGAACCTTCAAGCTATATAATTATACAGATTCTTCATCTAGAAAAAATGTTTATCGTCCTTTCAGGCGAGACAGCAGACACTCTGAATGCCTTGCGCTACTGTAAGGAAAGAGGAGCTCTTATTGTTGGCGTCACAAATACAGGTACAGCAGGTATTTATCAAGGAAATTAACAGCAATGCTGATCAATTGAGTAGCCAATTCGAGTTATCTGTAAACACGTATTTCACAATTCCCTCGCAAGTCATCTTGGTCGATTGCATTCAAGCCTTAGGGCTGTCAATCAAAAGGGAAACTTTTACTGCTGGCGAAAATGTAAAACTGCCATTTCTCTGTCAATTTTTAGTCTTTTTCAATATATTTTTCTTAAACTAGGAAACACACTTCATTCATTACTTTGCATTAAAAGTCCAAATTTGAATCTAAAATTCCCGATCTGAAGGTAAACAATAACCTTACAATAAGCTACTGCTTCTCCCATAGTATGAATTGATATTTAGATGAATTTATTGCTCTATTTCAGTTGGAAGCTCTATTTCCAGAGAAAGTATGTGTGGGTGTCATATAAATGCTGGGCCAGAGATTGGTGTTGCTAGTACAAAGGTACATTATTTTATGCTTAACTGATGAAGAAATGACTAGGCTGCCAATTCATTCTTACAGCTGACCTAGGTTTGTAAACTGTTGTACACAAAGGTACTGTCTCTATTCACTAGCTATGGTCAAACCATCTGTACTGGTCGCTAGATCTAGGACTGACAATTCTGGCTTCAGGAGTCTTAAGCTGACAGTACAAATTTACAAAAAGTTAGTGTAATTAATAATAAATTGAAAGTAGTTGCAATTATAAAAATGGTAATTTAATCCGAAGATAGCTATTATATAGCTACACCTACTGTGCTATACTAACAACTCTTGTTTGTAGCCAGTATAACATGTGCTCTGATTGACTAATTTAGGGCATTATTCTCGCATAACATTCAGTCTTAATGGGAGAATCTCAAACCTCTGCCTTGCCACAGGTATTGACCGAGCCATAGCAAGGTTTGAGATTTTCCCTTGAAGACTTCATTTGCATTTAATCATTAAGTAGTTATTTCCAGTAACTTCTGATTAGAATGATTCAACTGTTTTAAGGCGACACTCGTGACCCTCGCTAGAGTCTGTCCACTTAATAGAGGTGTCTGCTAAATAGGCTTGAACTTCATTTTACTTCAGATGTTGGGCAAAAAGTTTGGGAATCACATTTGGTTTTAGTTGTGAGAATTATTAGAAGAATTTTGCATGAAACATCTGGCAACCAGAGTACCAGAAAAATTCTCAAACAAGAAATGGCACCTGGGCATTGTATAATATAACTTACAAGCATTGTAGTACTATGTATTAGTAGACTTTATTATTTCTACATCCTCTTGTGTTCTGTTTGCAGGCTTATACCAGCCAGTTCCTTGCTCTAACAATGTTTGCGCTGATGATGTCTGAAGACAGAATCTCTATGCAACAAAGACGAAAGGAAATTGTTGAAGGAATGAGGCAATTGCCTGGTGAGTTTGTAATATGGAATTGCAAGATAAACATGTTTTGGTTTTTCTGTTGTTTGAGAAACTCTGACTTACTACATGTACTTTAGAAAAAAAAAAGGTTTTACTCTTCAATGATATCCTATCAGTTGTTTTACAGGGGTTGTCATTGCTCATAAATTGCTCTTGAACTCCTTGACTTTTAAAATTTATTTCTCCTTCTTAAGAAAACACCTTGAAAATGTTCTTTTTTCTTCCCATTCCTAGACTGCAAGCAGTCTCTTTCTTTTTCACACAGCATGGTTTCCAAATCTTGTACCTTTAACATTTTGAATTACGTATTTCTATAATATATAATTTTTGTAAATAGATCTTATTAAGAAAGTTCTGAACCTGGATGAGGAGATTCAGTCCTTGGCACGGGAATTATATAAACAGAAGAGTCTTCTTGTCATGGGCAGGGGATTCCAGTTTGCTACATGCCTGGAAGGAGCTCTGGTAAAATTACTTTCTCTGCTCAAGATACCCATTAGTCAGATTTAAAAGGACTCAAACAAGTCTTGTTTAAAGAGTGATGTATCCAATAGTGAATGAATCTCTTAGTGACCATTTTTTTAGTTTGTTTTCAAACATGATGTTACAGCAATTTTCAAGATTTTGTTCACCACTCTGCTAATAAAGGAATCAGTTTGAACATCTACTAAGTCTTAAGTGGCTACAAAAACAGAAAAATTGTTTAATTTTTCATGAATGCAATGCTTGTTGCATATGATGCTGGCTGTGTTGTTATTCTACTGTCTCAAGTTGGCTCCAATTTTAATTTTTCATCAATTTTTTACATGTATTTGAACACCTTTACTCTTAAACATTTATGCATAGCAATTGTCAAACAAATCAGGTTATTGTGCATCGACATCAAAGATTTTTGTGTGACAAGCATGTTACTGAATCTCTGTTACACTCGCCCAACTACGTTAATTTGTGTCCACAGAAAATCAAGGAGTTGACTTACATGCATTCTGAGGGCATCCTAGCTGGAGAGCTTAAACACGGCCCACTAGCACTTGTTGACAAAAACATGCCTGTTATTATGTTGGTATCAAGGGATGCTGTCTTTCAGGTTTGTTGTTCTGCTACCTATAACTTGAGAGAGACTCAGATCAAGTACAAGCTGTTCCTGGGAAGAGGGGAGCGGGGGGACTCCCTTGTGAAAAGTCTGGGATACTTGTCAGACAATTTGAATTAAAAACTCCAAAAGAGATCAATCTGGGTGTGGCTCAAGCTAATTTTGACCCCCAAAAGATACCACTTAAAATACCACCTTAGAATGGCACTTTTATGGTTTCTTTGAGAGCAGTCCAAAAAATTTAATATACCTTGATGGCTAAAAGTAGTGGTGTTTAATCCCGAACACCCCAAAGGGGTTCACACCCCAATGGGAGGTACAATAAGTGTCCCCGACCTTGTTGCATAGGGATCTCCCCCTAGGAAGCTGTTGACATAACAATGGCACAAGCAAAGAGAATATACTTTTCGAGAAATAAATATTTAAATGATTAGCAAGTGATTTTTGTTTGTGTCTTGGAATGTTTTCTTAACAAGGATAGACAACATTTTGTGTGTGTTTCTGAGTTGTGCCTGTTACTCTGCAAACTAGTTTTGCCTGCTAACTCATGTTTGACTGCTTTGGTTTGCCTTTCAGAAATGCATGAATGCATTACAACAGGTTACCGCACGTCAGGTAATGGTGTCAATATTTTTTTATGAGAATTTAAGGGTTTAAAAACTAAACAAGTGCTATGGCTTCCCTAATGTCAAATTCCTGTTGCTGTCAAATGTTGTATTCTCCCTATTCCATCGTGGTCAACTTAAAGTGTGTCATCTTTGGTGTTTCTTTTACAACTTCCCAAAGGGCTTTTACAAAGCGAGGGAACAATGACCTCAAGCAATGAAGGGAACAAGGGATAGTTTTAGTATAAACCTGATGGTACAATGGATATCTATAATACTTAGGGAACCTAAGCCAAAAATGTTAGGCTCAGCCAATGGAATTTAGGCTAAACCACAGAATACAGGGCCACTTTTAATCATCCACCACACAAGCTGGCTTGTTTGGTTCATTTGCTCCTTTGCCATCCACTGCTGAGCCAAATGAGCCACTAAATATATAGACCTAGGGCTTAACGCATATATAGATTATTCCTCATTCTTTCATCCACTGCTGAGCCAAATGAGCCACCCGAGCCAAACAAGGCACTAAATATATAGACCTAGGAGGTAACACATATATAGATTATTTCTTGTTATTTCATCCACTGCAAAGCCAAATGAACCACTAAATATATGCATCTTCAAAAGTGGCCCTGTATTCTGTAGTTACTCCAGAATTTATTAATGGCAACTAAGGGGAAAAAATAATAATGTAAAACTTTTTTATGGTATCAAGGAAGCATGGTGTATCCCCTCCTGGGCAGGCCTGACAGTTAGTATTTAAACCACCATGAAGTGGTTTTCATCTCTAACTTTGTTCAAAGGTGAATTTGCACAATGCAAGAAACTCAATTGTTAAAATAATGGTTTTTCTTAGCTTTTTCAATAAAGAGATGCTGGATTTTGGCCGTCCTTAGGTTAAATTGTTCCTGCTATCAAACCTTTTGGTGATTTTCTTTCATTTGTAGGGCCGTCCCATACTTATTTGTAATGAAGGTGACAATGAAGTGAAAGGACATGCATTCCTAACTCTTGAGGTACCAAAGACTGTGGACTGTCTCCAAGGAATCTTATCAGTTATTCCTCTTCAGTTGCTGTCTTTCCACATTGCTGTTCTCCGAGGATATGATGTGAGTATTCACTTCTTTGTTGTATCTCTTTTCTTAGTTTCTGCCAAGTTATCTGTAATCATTTAAAATTAACTTCCTAGAGAATTTGCACAACAGAATATTAAAGTCACTTCACACCCCCTCCCTTGCTTGAAGTGATCGAGTCTCACAGGAGACAGTTTGGTACATGTAATTGAGAATTAATGGTACATGTACCGAGCGAAATGCTTACTTAATGGTAATATAATGGGGAATTCCTCTAGCCCCTAGTGCTTGATGACAGTTCTGTTAGTATTCCTCCAAAATTTCTATTCTAACCAGGCTTTTCGCCAGGATTTGAAAATTGGGTGTCCAAAATGTGCTATAAGGCCTGCTCAGATGAACAATTTATAAGGCAACATATGAAAAATAAAACAATTTTTCTTTAGTAAGTGGATGCCCATCTGGCTAAAAGCTTGATTCTAACTATTGTTAGGTTGTTTTACATTTTAATTGATGGAATGTTTTGATTTCTGACCAGTGTTGTAATTTTGCAGGTTGATTGCCCGAGAAATCTGGCCAAGTCAGTGACTGTGGAATAAATTTCTCAATAATATTGAGAATATCAGCACCACTCTTTTAATATATTAAAAACAGTTGGCCACCACTCATTTCTGTGAGGTTTTCATAAAGAACTTCATAATGCTATCATATTTTACAGTACAGTATCACAAATTTAGTATTAAGTTCAAAGTAATTAACTTAGCTTAACTCAAACTGCAAGGAAACAGATGAATAATTTATTTGTTCGTGATTAAACACCAAATCGCCATCCATTTAATTGTATTCATCCAGACATCATTTCAATTTCTTGGCTGAATTTGGAGAATATATTAGATATTTATCAGTACATGCATGCAACTCCAGGAGATCTGAATACTGTAATCAGTGGTAATTATTTTAAAGAAGTTTTTTCCCAGGCCACAACAGTGATCTGTGGTCTGTGATGCATGTGGTGCATCATTAATAATAGACAACATAATTGCTATTAATAATGTAAGGAATTGATATTTTGAACAACAACCTACTGTAGACTATGCAGTTAGAGTTAGGAAATAATTTGGTCTAGTTCCCTGAATGGAATTTTCGGGAATGGTTTAATAATAATTATCAGAAAAATTGGGAATGGTGCAGAAAAATGGTCAGAATAGATTTTATTAGTGGATGGTGTCCATTTTCCAGTTTACTCTTACTAGAATTGTCAATAATTTGACAGCTACAAACTAAGTTGTGAACCTGCTATTAAGTTGACAAAACGTCATGTAGAATCAGTAATGAACACCATATGGCTTTGTCTACAGTAGTCAGTAATAGTCCTTGGTACTTTACAGCATTTTACCACTTTGCAAATTTAAGTCCTTTGAAATTATTTGTATTTCCAGACTCACCTACCCCTGCTCACACTGCCCCCACCCCCCCCAAAAAAGAAATTTTAATGAAGATCAAATATTATTGTAGCTAGTTTAGATAAGGGTGGTGAAGAAGGGGGGGGGGATGATTATCAGGGTCATTGGACAGCAAAAGTGCTAACTATACCGATTTAACTTTGGGCTTTTGCATTTTTATATTGGATCAAAGTTTTACAATGCAGGTCAGGATAGATAAATAAATAGCCTTCTTAGCAATTTAAGTTTTATCTTGCTAAGCGGTCAGGTGGTTCTCTTTGCATTCACATTTTAGCAAGGGCCGTGGGCAACAGATTCATTAGTATATCAAATACCAGTAGAAGGGCAATTACCAACAATACTACTTTGACATATCAAAGTAACTACATTAAGAGTATCAATGATTGACATTTAGAACCTAGCATATAAAGTATTGGATCATGTACTTAAATTATAGAAAAACATATTTCCTTATCTCTCTGAATAAACCATTTTACAGTTGTCTGCTCAGTGACCTGGCCTTTAGATGGCAGCAAGGCTGGAGTTGACCTTGTTTTGATACAGACCTCGCTAGTTTTGTCATGTAAATGCACCCAGTTAGCATTAAAACAACTTTTTTTACACAACAAAAGCAGTGAGGTCTGTATCAAAACTAGGTCAACCCAAGCCTTGCTGCCATCCAAAGGCCAGGCCACTGAGCAGACAATTGTAAAATGGTCTATTGCATCTGATTATCTTGTTAGTATTTTCAAAGAAAATGATTTTGTGGACACTTGCTATGGAGATTAATATGAATTTAAAGGAGTTAGTCTATAATATCATAATTTCTGACAGTGGGAAATTAATTTTATATTATTGAACCTGATTTATTGGGACGTCTGAGCTATGTTGATATTTTTTCCTTTGGTGCTGAAAATTTTGGTTTAAAAAAAATTGGATTTGTAACAGTGCATATCAATCCCTGCTTGGGTTTATGGATTGTGCTGTAAAATTAAAGCAAATCCTTGCTGACTACAGTGTTTCCCTTTGGCTCATTAATTGGGGTATGACTTTGTTAAGAAAGCATCATGTGAGATAAAAATTGCCTTCAAACATTTATTAAACAGCTTTTGAAACTTAAGATCTGAGAATTTTGTATCTCCTTATGTGTGATGTTGAAGATGTCAGCATTCAAAAACCTATTGGGTGGCAGGAGCAGTGATCAACCCATACAAAAAATGCTCTATTAGCTCTTGGGGTATTTTTGAAAATTCCTACATGTAGGTAGTTGTTACCACAACACCTCAACATGGTACTTTATTTCTAGTTTAGTTGCTTGACTAAATTGATTTTAAAAGTCAAAAAATCTTCCAAAGGAATCTGAAGTTCATGCTTGTACTTCTGCTTGGTACTGGCACAAAGTGATGCTGCGTTTATACAGTTTCCAGCAAGAATCGTGTGAACATGAACACCTAATAAGTACAAAATTATACCTGTAATCTGTGTGGGTGTTCTATGAGCCATTCTTTTTTGTACTGTAGCTGTTCTTTTTAGCCATCTGCCACCCTATTTGGAAATCTTCTCACAGGAAAATTAAGGTCCCAGTTTTCTCTCACAATATTCAAATTTTAATATATTGTGATGATATCGGATTTCTTTATCTGACCTAGTTTGAAATTTGGCCATATAGGGTGTTTTTGGAATACAATTATTATTGATGGTAATTTTTCATTAGCATTGTTCATGGAAGTTTAAAGAATTTGTCAATGTTTGTACTAGTGTGATAGAGCGATTGAAGGTTTGATTTTTAAATAAAGACTACAGGCAAATTTATGCTTTGTCTCATAATGCAGTGATGATGTTTGGCGATGTCAGTTAAACAAATAGATTCCATGTTGCCGTGTGTCTGTTGAGTAATGTTGAATGTTTATAGTGGTCGATGCACTAAGCTACTACTAGCTAGTTTTCAGGCGTGCCACTTCAACTGAAAGAAACAAATATTTCAAATAAACATAACAGGCTCAAAAATCCCAACTGGTAGGAGGCAGACTGGTTGGCTATTTACAAGCATAACCAAGGAGTTGAACTGGGGTCTAGCGAGAAACAACTGCTGCCTCCACAAATAATGTCAAAAAAACTGGTAAGAACAAAAAATTGGCATCAGTCCTTGCCAAAAATTAAATGTTTCCAGGTTGATTTTAAAAGTCAAATAATCTCCTAGAGGAATCTGAAGTTCACACTTATACTTGTGCTTGGTACTGGCACAAAATTATGCAGTGTTTATATAGAGCCCAGCAAGAATCATTTTCAAGTGCCATGCTTTGGTACTATGTGTGAACTTAAACATCTAATATGTACAAAATTAAACCTGCAAACTGTGTGGGTGTTCTGTAAGCCATTCCTTTTTGCACTCTTTAGCTGTTCTTTTTAGCCCTCTGCCACATAATTTGGAAGTCTTCTCACAGGCAAATTAAGGTCCTAGTTATCTTATTGGATGTGAAAGGATACCACCTCTCTCAAAGTTCATTTTTTGCAAATTTTGAAAATGGGATTTTATTGTTTAGTGAAACATCCGGTAGCTGTTCGTTCACCCCTTTTGAAGTGTTTCTCCTTGTCATTGGAAATTGGCAAAGCAGTCATTTTTGACACTGTCGTGTTGGAAAATCCAATCCTTTCTTTTAGAATTCTTTGGGTTTTTTTTTCTTGTGTTGCTTTGTAAAATTAATACTTTTACATTTCCAGTATCATTTTGGATTAATCTTCCATCAATCTTTGTAGTTTTCCAACTTCTTGGAAAATAGTGAAATCCAAGGTGGCAGATCCGATCCAACAGAATAATTACGACAATATGAAATTTTTATTCTTGCATAATTTACAATAATACTATTAATACAACTATAGATAAAAATCTAAATAATGGTAAACATGGATAAAAAAAACCATGCATTCACCAACTAAAAAGGACTTGTGGAGCAAGCTGACAGAGGGCTGTCTACTTAAAACAAAAGTTATTAAAAATAATTGTGATGTGTTTTTTTTTTTAAGTGAAAACCCCCAGTGTCCAACCAACACCCCCAATGTGCCATGGTGGCGATGCAAGTTTACTTGTAAATATACAAGTGTGTCAAGGGTCTAATTCACTCCATTTAAAATTCAGCCACCCTATAAGATGACCACATTTTTCTGGCTCACCAGTTGTCATAATAACACACTATTACTGTTTCACTAGAAAGAACACCACTTGTAAAATTCATCTGAAACTACATCCATATCTTGGCTAGTAGGGACATTGATCACAATGATCATCTCCCACTTTTTCGTGGTTACTTGTGCAAACAGTCAGTTTGTCTTAATATAAAAAGAAAACTACACAGTTGCTCGAGGATTGGTTTAGTTTCGTGTCAAAAACAAATATAACTAGCTGCACTCATTAGTAAAATATTGTTTTAACCACTCGCAAATAAAATTCATAAAGAATTATCCGCTCTATGATAGGCCTTTTGCAACAGTTGGTCACAGTATGTGCTTTAAAAGAACACGCTGATTTTAATTAGTCATTGGTAATGCAAAATGTTATCAGAAATGGAAAGAACATTTAGAAATAAGCTTAAAAGCAAATTTTCAGCTTTTGTATCCTTTAAGAAGGGGGACATAGGACTTTGCAGTGTTTTGGTGGTGATTGTTTTTCTGATGCAGTGAATAAGATCCCAACTTGCCTTGTTGCAGTGATTTCAAACCCTACGGTGTGCAATGTTTGTGTTTTTCATGCTACAGTGTTTGGTGAAAAGAAATTATCTGTGGTGCTGTAGTTTCTTGTTTAACCTTTCTCGGACCTAAATTTAGCATGTTAACTTTGTTCATCTGTGCAATTTACAGCTGTATAGCAAGCATGTACCATTGTGCTTAAAAATCCAGTTACAGTTTTTTGACCTTTACAGACATCAGCGGTACCAGCACATGGGCAATGACAAACCTTGTGATGTGTTTTATTTTTGTAGAAAATTATTGAGGTATAAAAGTATCATGTCTAATGTAGACGTTCTTATCATGGGTCTAATATGTTGCAGTGATGGTGCTTCGTTGACTTTTCTTGTGGTGATGCAGTGTTCATTAATTTTTTTCTTTTGTGATGTTGCAGTGTTCAGAGCCCCCCATGGCCCCCTCTTTAAGAGGGAATTTTTATGCATGGTAGAAATTAGAAGGATTTGTGTGGGAGGAAGACACTTTGCCCTCCTGTCACTCTCCAGTTGTTTTCCATACAAATCCTTATAAAATCTTTGACTTTTGGTTCAAGAGCCTAGAATTTTCCAGTCTTCCTAATATTTTACTGCTTTCTATTTTCAACAGTTATATGCCAGTAGCTTCCTTTTGTAGTGATTAATAATGGCAAAGATTTCTGGAGGGCAAAGCTTCCTCGCTTCAATTCAAAACCTTCTAATTCTTGCAATAATTATTCAAATTGTCATTAAATCCCATTCAGCACCCTTAAATGGCATTGATCTGTAAATTGGTGTTCTGGCTATTTAAAACATGCTCTTTCCAGTTATAAAACAATTCTTTTAGCTATAGTTAAAAGTTAAGACATCAGTCACATGACCAACTGTTACAAGAGGCCAACACTTTCCAGTGCTGCAGCATTTTCCTTGTCATTTGAGAGGTTAAGCATGACGTCTACGGCAAACGGCAAACGGCAAAAATGAAACTTTTGCCGTCACTTTTCAGCTGTGTGTACAGTAGAGGGAAATTATTTGTATTTGCAATGAATAGTAGGAGACATTATTCCACCTTTGTGTGCTTTATTTATGGATTAGAAGAAAAGAACTCAAAATCAGAAGTTATCTTTGCCGTTTGCCGTCTGCTGTTAACGTCATGCTTAACCTCTATTATCACAGGCATTTCAGAGTGAAAGGACTGGGCAAACAATCTATACGTACAAGTACAATGTACTCAAACTGTGTAATAAAAATGTTAACTAAAATTTTCTTCAGATACACTTTTTCTCACGAAACAACAAGCGAATTCCCGAGATGAAAACTGCTTTGATGGTAGTTTTACTTTTAAAAGTTCCTTTCTTTAAAAATTTTTTGCATGTAATGTTTAACTTACATCTATTTCCCCTTAATTTCCGTGCAAGCGCTACAAACATTTATATACGTAAATTTTTCTGCACACTATTTACAAATACGCTTACTTCCTAATAGATAAAATCTAATGCTTTTGTAAAATTACACGGAAGAACACAGTCAGACACAGTCCAACGGCAATATACAGTAGTTAGTTTCGCCCTTGCATGGCAAGGACATCTTTGATATCTCCAGTAAGTCGCCGGGAGAGACAGAACCCAATGAGCTGTAACACGGGTAAACAGGCTGCAATAGACGCCATTAAAATCAGATTACCTCGAAACCAATCTTCCACTCCTTTCAAACATCCCTGAGTGTAGACAACGCTTTCCGCTTCGCCCTCTGAAATCGCCAGAACGCCAAATCCGCACTGAGAGTTCACTTCGTCCGTAATGCAACATGAATAGGGAACCCCGCAACTCTCGATGGCCGGGGACGAGCAATTATAATACGGATTCCTCTCCCAGTCGGAGTATTTTTCAGAACCGCAACACTTCAACTCCTTCTGCACCGTGTCCATAACAAGTTGTAAATCGGGATCGTCCAAGTAATTCTCGATCATCTTCCTGAAGGCACTGTCCATCTCTGTTTTCACTTTTTCCGAATATACGTAGCCGAGAATGGCGGCAGTGATCTCCAGTAACAACATAAAACCAAGCATAAATGAATAAAATCGAAGCAGACATGTATTCTCCCTCAGTGCACCCAGACAGCCAGCGAACGAAATCACGAACATCACGATACCAATGCCTAACAGGATAGCCGCGGGATCTGTGGTCAGACGGCTAATTTGACCGTAGATTTCCTGTTTTTCGATCATGGCGTACACAGCGATGGCCAAGATCAAACAACTTGCGAACCAGAATAAAATGTTCATGGAAAACATGAAGTATTTCACGCAGTACGTCGACTTTTCAGGATACGATTCTTGACGATTGTCATGAGGTCGCATAGGGTGAACCCTCGTGGAACGACGCATATTGCTGTTGTATTCTAAATGCTTTTCCTGCTATCGAAGCTATGGATTCTCTGGCCACACAAGTCTCACAGATAGAACGATGAATCTACTTTAAAACTACTGTGTTTGCTTCTGCTAAGGACTTTCTGAAATTGAGACATTGCTGACTCTTAACCATGACAGTAATCCATGAACGTCATTAATTTGTCGTCAAGTAATGATTGGACATCGGTCTGTTTGCGAAGAGTCAGTCTTTCTCCGTGTGTTACACGCGCGAACACACGCGTGATTCTTAGTATATCGCGAGACAGCCTTGCTAGCTGAAAATAAATCATATGCCACTAGACGACTAGGATCTATAGGTTAGAGCAGTAGAGGAGACATCTTTCAATTTGGGGGCGAGGGGCGGGGACAGCCTGCGTAGCACGCGTTTTCAAAAAAGCACGCGAAGGGAACGAAACTGCGAAAAATAAGGAGCAGGGGAAGGCCAACCCTCACTGCCTCCCCACTATTCCCGAATTTTTTGCTCACCACAGACGCGCGCCGCTCGCCCGCTTGCTCGCTTGCTTGTTCGATCAGGACAGGAAACGGCTGCTACGCAGGTTAGGGGGATTTTTAAGATTAATTTTGCATTCAGTTGTTTGCTCCTGGAAGACTGCGTGTAATTCGCCAGAGATTACGCGCTGCGCTGCCTGTTTTTCTCTACTCTGATCATGTAGAAATCAGAAGCATATCACCTACGCTTCTGGTAGAAATACATAAAACCGGGATGTTACTTAAACCGGAAACATGTGGTATGCTGTACTCTTCATGGAAAATCAACTGCGACGGATGGTGGAAAATAATAAAACAAAAACCCAAAAAGATTAGGTTTATGGGTAGAGGTAACTGTTAGGATATAAAGCGTTAGGATTAGGAGTATGTTAAGCGTCAGGGTTAGGGTTTACATCGTTAGAATTAGCGCTAGGATATGGTTAAGTTTTAGTAGAGTAAGGGATGCGGAATACCGCTGACCCATTGTCCAGTTCCTCGTTCATCGTTTTAGTTATGTCCACGACTACCTCAGTGTCACTAATTGGTAGCACTTATTACGTACGGGTCAAAATAAGTTTGGGTCATACTCATCACAAATGTTTCAAAATTTCCTACGGCTACACGTACACGTAGGCTGCCTACGCCCACCCTACACCCCGTCTTTTTTATAGGGGGTTCGTTGGATTTCTACTGTCCGGACTTTCCTAATATAATAGACCAATTACGATATATTATAATTCAGCCTTAAACGATAGACCTCAGTGCGAGGCTCTGGGGAATAACCACAGCGTTTGTGGGGTTTCTTCCTATCCCCAGAGCCTCGTGCTGAAGTTTATTGTGTTAGGCTGAATTCTAATGCAGTGGCGGATCCAGACCTTGAGCTAAGGGGCTGGCCCGGTTTTGTTTTGCTTACCCTGGGGTTTTTCTTCCTTCTATGATTTTTTCTTCTTTTTTTTTACCTAAAATAAAGGGGAGGGGTGCCACTGTACGTTCCGCCACTGTATTAGTACAATAGATAGATAGATAGATAGATAGATAGATAGATAGATAGATAGATAGATAGATAGATAGATAGATAGATAGATAGATCACTTTATTTATACAAATGTAAAAATTAAACAATATTGCCATTATAAAAGTAATGATGTAATCAGACAATAATAGTAATTACAATAATGGATGGTGTGAAACAAAAACATCAACACCAGCTGGAAAGAACGTTTTTTTTGTTTCGATTTGTTGTTGTTGTCGTTGTTGTTGTTGTTGTTGTCCCCTTGAGGGACTTTGACAGACTGTGATTCAGACGGCTTGCACTCCAGTTCCCGTAAAGTGCAAGCAGGGTTCAACACCGAAAAGGCCACAGTTAGGAAAATTTTTCCATTACATCCAAAAAATATATTTAGCTCAATTTTGATAAAGATATATAATTTGAACAGGGTCTGGTGCTGTGAAACCAAGTGTTAATGCATTTTTTCTGTTACTGTTAATTTTTCTTTCTTGGGAAGCGAGAAAACGTGACAATTTCGGAAACCCTTTGAAAGCACTGGACGTGACAGAATGACTGGTCACGTGAAAGTGAAAGAAAGCGAGTCATATTTCCTTTTGCAAATGTCGACACTCGCGGGGTGAAGTGAGTGGGCCTTTGCTGTTTTTCAGCCATTTTTCAGCGTTTCACAGCGAAAAATGGCCATTTTTTTCAACAAGGATGTCTGTGAACTTCTTGAAAACAGGAAAGTCATCATTATCGGTGATTCTATCCAGCGTTCTGTTTACAAAGATCTCGTTTGCCTCTGGACTCAGGAAGACAGCCGCTATTTATATCAAAGAGAACTGCGCGCGAAGGGCGAACTGACCTTTCTCGGCGACAAATTGCTCAGTGGGGGAAAGCTTGAAGGAAAAATGGTAAATGGCGTCGGCTACAGAGAGGTCCGAGAATTCTCAGACGGCAGAGCTTTCTTCAAGTATTACTTTGTAACTCGGTCGTACGGTGAACACATGGCGTCCATTCTCAATGAGTTGAAAACATGTCAGCCAGACGTAATAGTCATGAATTCGACCTTTTGGGATCTACACCACTATGGCGACAATGACTTGCAGCAGTATAAAGAGAACTTAGACAGGCTACTCAAGGACATCACGGACAAGTTTTCCTCAAGTTTGCTGTTCATTTGGAACGCTGCCTTGCCCCTCGCCGAGAGATGTAAGGGAGGTTTTCTTCGGAAGGGATTTCTTACAATCCCGGTCGAAAAGATTAAAACAGCGAATAAATTCGCCTGGCTAGCCACCACTGGACAGAGGAAAATCTACTTAGATCTATTTACCGAGCTGAAAAACAAGGAAAATTTCAAACAGGCGGAGGACGGCATCCACTGGGGAATGCGTGCTCATCGAAAGATCTCGAACCTAATTTTGACGGAGTTGTGTACGTCATGGAACAGGAAACTGCCTGATCCTCCCCAGATGCCAAACCAAGCTAGCTATTACCCGGACAATGGCGATGACGATTACTGGAATTCAGCCCCTCCAGCGTCGTATGACGATGGTGATGAGATGGAATACATGAATTACGTTCCATACTGGAGTCCCTTCTATGATAGATATCAAACCCCATCACCTGTCCTCTATGAAGCCCCTAGTCCTTACGCCAGTAGCTTGGGTAGTTTAGGTTTGAGTTACAGCATGCCATTTGTTTCGCAAAGGGCAAGGGAATATCAACCCATTCCTGCACCCATCCCTTATCCATTTCAGAGGAGATATCCGCCAATTCAAGAGATGCAGTTCAATTTCGGCACACCTCCGGCTCAGTACTATCAAGGGCAATATTTGTTTAAACCCGCATTTTACTCTGAACCCCTTCCTTCCAGGACGTATAGTCCTCATGTCACCAACCAATTCAGATCGCTTCCATTCAAAAGCCCGGGCTTGCTGCCAACTCCCCTGGGCCGCCCATCTTTTGCCTTTTTCAATGAAGGCAGCTCCAGTTACAGAGATCGCTTTAAGAAGCTAAGTAACCCGAGTGTAAAGTGGCGCAGATATAAGGCAAGTGCTACCACTAGTGTGGCTACTCCCTTGAACACGGCTCAAAATTCTAGACCAAGTCAGACACCCCAAAATTCGCTCATTAATGGAGCTGATTCTGCTCCCACTGTTAATAGTTCTGAGTTGTCAGATCTTAACAACAATGAGGAGCAAAAGAATTCTCTTGTAGAATCATGTTCTAAAGCAAATAGTGATAATGCAGTTGTAGAAACGGGGGTACTTCCTGAACAAATCAAACCTAAGTCTCCCACCAATTCGACCACTCCAGTAGGGAGCAGTGATTCTGTGCCAGCTGTGAATGAAGAAGATCCAAGTGATGGAAATGATGGTGCAAAGACATGTGGAATTAAAAGGAAACATGAAGATGATGAGAGTGCAAATACAGAGGAATCAAATCCTTGTAAGATTGCTCGTGAAGAAAGCACCATCTCTGATGCAAGCATAAGTGGAGTGAAAAGAAAGCTTGAAGATTCTGAGCCTGTGAAAGAACCAAGTGTTCTTAAAGATGTACAGGAAAATGGTTTCACATCTGATGATGCAGAAAGAAGTGGACTGAAGAGAAAACGTGCAGATACTGATGATGCACTGGAAGAACCGAAGCCCTCCAAGATTCAGCAGGCTGAACAGTTCTCACCAGGTGATTCAACGAACAATCGTGGAGAAAACCAGTTTGCTGTGGAGTCCAATGTACTTGGAGTCACTGAAGAGAAAGGTACTGCTCATGACATTGTCAGATGTTCTTTGACATATGACAGTTTTATCTAAACACGGTTGATACAATCTTCCTTTTTTGAGACAGTATACTCTTCAGGGCTTGATTAGAAGGTACTGAAAAAGGATGTTTTATTTTTGTAAGACCTTATTGCATTTAATTGCTAGATTGTTGTATATTAGCTATGGGAAGTAGATGACGAAAACAGCCTTTATCCCCATTGTACATGTTGTAAACTTGAGGGATTCAGATAAATTCTGTTTTCGTGTAGAAGTGTTACTGTTATATTGAAATGATTCAAAGGTATTACAAAAAGTATATGTTTTCTTGTTGGAATCAGTCACATTTCCCATTGAAGTGAAATTGAAGACTTTTGAAAAACGTTTAATAAGGTAAATTTGATATTTAAAGTAATATGTTATGTTTCCCATTTATTTAGCATAGTGATATTGTATTTTTATCACGTAGTTCTCAGGTTGCATAAGTTAGATTATTTTATGTGAAATTATTTTGGAACTGAACAACTTGCATTGTTGGGCATTAGTGCATGCTGCAACTTCCTAACAGATTCAGTTATCACCTGCTTGTGGTCCTAATTTGTTTGCCACTGGGTACTGCGTGTACATGCCACTGTATTTAACATTACAACTGTATCATAAATAGCTCATCTTTCTATTAATAGAAGATTCAACATGCTGACTTTTTGCGTTTAGAATATGAAAGCAAGCTAAGAAACATCTGTAGCTTGAGAGTAGTCCTAAAAAAAATCATTTTGACCTCGTGATTTAACATTATTGAAAATGATTTGCTGAAACCCAGAGCTAGCTTTATATGATAGGCTTTTACCACTGGTATGCCTTATGCAGGGATGCAACAAAGTAAAACAAAACTAGGCTGGCTTTTTAGGCTTTTGTCCAAGTCTTGTATTTGTATTGAAAGTGAAATTTCACCACAAAATTCAAAATTTCAGCCAGCTTTCAGTTAGCCAGTGAAATTAACAGGCAGCATCCTTAGCTACATCTCTGATTTACACCATGAAACAAAACTGATCTAAGATACTGTTATAAGTACGAATTTTCAAAAACTGCAGTCAGTGATTATTTTGGTAAAGAATATATTAGGTAAACAAGAAAAGGGATCTAGTTTATTTAATTTTGTACAGTACTTATCATATGCAGTTTGCAATGTTTATGTAAATGCTCACAAATTAATCATAAATCAATCAGAAATTATTTTTTATTAAGTTAACAAAGAGCTGATTAAGTACATGTAGTTGGTGACATATTTGGTAACTGGTCATGTCAGGTAGACTTTCTAGTTGAAATGGTCATTCTGAATCCATGTAGTCAATTTGCTTTTTTGATAGCCAACAGTTGATGCATGGGCTGTTAGCTCTAAAATTGTGAAGTAAAATATGTTTTTCTATAAAAATATTTCTAGTCATTGCTATGTCAAAACAAGGCTTCTGTGCAGTGGATGCCCTCATTACAGCCTTTGTTAAGTAGGTACTTGTTTGGTCATAGGAAAATGCTTAGACATTTTCTTAATCAAAGGACCCCTTTAATACGACCAACCCCTGTTTTATGACCTCAATTTTATGGCCCACTTGTGGCATTATTATAGGATTCCACAGTACTTTCCTTATTTTTTTTTTTTAATTTTGTGAAGGCATGTGTGCTATATCATGAAGTAATCCTCCCAGATACTGTTACTTGAACTTGTAGTTGCCAGTTTGTTAAGCAGTAAACCAGACCTGGTCCTGGAGATAACAACGAGATGGTTCACTAGCAGGGTGCGAGGGTAATAAGCAATTTCTCTGCTTCCATCTGTCAAGTTACAGTGTGACTACTCTAACCAAGCCCACCCTACAAGATTTTCTTCAAATTTAACGAATAAAACTCACGAAGGTTAACAATAGTTTTCCAACAAATTATCCATGTAATCAAGCTGTACATTACAAAGGCAACACATTTGTGGTCATTTTGGATAATTTATTGGAAAACTTAAGTTAACCTCCAAGATTCTTGTTTATTAAATTTGTGGAAAGTTTTGTTGGGTGGCCTTGGTTGGAGTAGCTACACTGTATTTTTTTTTTTTTTTATAACGTGACACAAAGTTTCATTATATCAGCGGTAGACTTTTCTCTTGTACTGTTGGTTATAATGTAATTTATTTGTAAACCTGGGTCGGGTTGTTCAAATCCAGTTTAAGCTAACCCAGGATGTTTCAGCGAAGTTTTCTGTTTATATTGTTTGTACTCTAGTTTCAAGTTTGAATTATCTCAAACAATGCAAAACATAAGAAGTGAAAAGCATTTTTATACTGAAAAAATTAATAGTTTGCTTTGAAATTTTTGAACCTGGGTTAAGTTTAACAGGCTTTCAAATCACTCGGCTCTGTAAATTAATTCTCCAACACTTGAAATAAGCCATATTTTTTATTATTATTATTTTGTCAGGCCTGATATGTACAATAGTCATTCAACTGATAAGTTAGCTGAAGAAACTAGGGCTTGGTGCATACAAGTAAGGAGTGCATAGAAGAAAGACCTGTTGACTGTATGGCCAAGCATGGGATTCACTGTCGGTAAATTTGGATTCAACCAGTTGAAGATTCTGAGGGTTATACTGATTTTGAGGGTGATATCGACCGATAGACCCAGTCGTCTTCATACAACACACGGCATAGGGCAAGGTTGGGGAGCACAGGGTGATGGGAATTGGGAAGCTTTCTCCCAACCCATCTCCCTCTGTGCTCCGACCTCACTCTGTGTCACACGCTGTATGAAGTTGTATGAAAACTAGTCAGCTGACACCCTGAGTTACTATGACGAGTGATCAAATTCATCAACAAAGAACACATTTGTTTTAGGATGACTATCGTTTTTCTGTACCTGTGTGGACCAATATGTGAGACCATTTTCAGAAAATTTGCTGCCATCAGCCTTCTTATCTTGAAGCTTCCTTGAAGTTACTGAGGGATTTCTTGTCTTTCTTCCATGCACATACCAGCCCTTCAATATTTTTTATTAAAATAACTTTAATTTGTTCACTCCCTGCATTTTGGTTTATAATGGTTATAATTGTAGGCTTTGGACTGCAATCCTTTTAGAGTTCCTTCTAAAAATGAGACTCTGTGCCCTTGTTTTCAATGACTGATTGGTGACTTGGCCATTTCTTGTTGACAATTCACTCGGAAAACTTGGGTTCATAGTCTAATTGTTAAATAGCAAATATTGAAAAAGTGAGGAAAGACATCCACACTGTCTCTACGCAGACTTGTTTAAAATGTTAACATGGTTCTGCGGATGGTTTTTCAAAATGGCAAATCTTTACTTTTTGACACCATGTACTATCCATTTCATTGTCTATCTATTGTATAATTGCTTTCTGAATGTAACATTGAGAAGTTTAGACTGTACCAGTATAATTAGTCACTAAATATTAGAGAAGTATTTTAACTTTATTTACATTTTTCTATTTACAATAAAGGATGTTACTGTTCTGTTATGCAGGGAAAGAGATTTGCTCTATACCATACTGTATTCGAGAGGTTTTTTAGCCATCTACTATAGCCACCTCCTATTGCTGGGATTTAACCCATCTTCTGGATGCTCTACCGATCCCAGGGAGGGATACTCCTGGTAGGCTCTGCCTCAAGGTCTAAACCCTTACCCTACTATAAACCATTTTCAACAGAAAACTTAACCCTCCATGAAAAATGTTATCCCTTGCACATTCCTACAGTACCTTTTGAGCCAACCCTAAAAATGTTCTGCAAAAGTCGTTCTACCCAATAGGCCCCTTGCGACTAAGCTATCACGTGACCTACTTTTCATAAATTATGGGTTGTAACTTAGAGAATGCCATAAATTGGAAAAAGCATGTCAAAAACATCAAAATAGCCAAGCTTGAGGCTCCTGGCATTGAAGAATGAAAGTTAATGACGGTTGGAATTTAAAAGAAAAATAAGATTTGTAATGAAAAAGTTGTTGGAGAGCAAGACCTTGCTCTTCAGTAACATTTTCCAAAAATATTCTCTAACTCTACCAAAAATTCAAACTTCCATATGAACTTATTCTTTAAAGCCACGTCCCTCAAACTTGGCCATATTGTTATGTTTGATGCGCTCTTTCCATTTCTGGCGTTCTTAAAGTTATATACATATATAGATTTTTTAGCAACCGATTAAACCGCGAGCTTCTGAGCTGAGTGGCGTAATCGTTCCCTACATTTGCAAATCCGGGCTCGACTACACAATACTCGCTGATCACTGTGGGCTCCTCTGAACTAATTTTTACGCACGAAGTAAATATTTCTGCTTAAAAAAAAAAACTTAAATCTATGCAGTACGTGAATGATTCGGCAAACCCGTCCCCAGAGCCTTCGTTCCTCCCACCTGGGGGACAGAGGAAAGGGCGGTTATGGGGAGGTGGGGTAGGGGTTAAATACGACACCTATTTGTTTTCTTTCGGGGGGTGCCGCATTTTTAGTAAAATTCGTGGCACAATCAAAATATATCAATAAAATAGAATCCAAACAGAAATAGAGACCAACGACACGCGGTACGGGTATCAAGTTTTCTTGACTTCTTTCAACAAAACAGGTGGGGTTTTCTATAAACTGTTCGTCAGTCGTTGATTAACTGGGCGTTGTCGAAAGGTTATTTTTGGCAGTTGGGATGCGCTTTAGTGACTGGTGATGTTGTGGAGTGGAGAGGTGGCCGTTGTAGAGAATTTAAAAGAAGAGCTAATGTAAGGACTGTACACCGGGACAGAATTAAGTCGCGTTGAAGAGAGGAGGCCAGTAGCGAAGGACTGACTGTATAGAAAACGCTCGCTCCCCTGCGGCTCGTATTTTTTCTAAATGTCCGTCTTATTCTCAAATCGCCGTCATGTTTCAGACATAATAATATACATGAACAAATGACTCGATTCTGATTGGGTGAGAGCAATGAAGTTCAAGTGTAACACAGTGCAAAAAGTGTAACACCAGTGCACATCACACAACGGAATTCTGGATTATGATTGGCTGAAAGACAATAAGAAATTTTCTAAGCCAACGATATCACGTGGTGCAGAAGGCGACAAACGTATTAAACCACCAGAGATTTCTTTAATCTTTACTGTAGTTGATTAGTAGATTCTGAAGAGTGGATCTCTGTGGCTTGGAAAAACTAATACGATGAAGCTTGAATACAATTGAATGTTCGCAATACTGATCGCAGCTGAAATCGAAACCCAAAATTCTAATCCTAAAACGAACTATTCATGAGCTGTCAAATAAAGGAAAACGAACTATTCATGAACTGTCATATACAGGAAACCGCAATCGCTAAACTATTTAAGACCACAGAGAAACAGAGAAAAATAATCACGCATATTTCGCGATAATCACGCATTGTTCAAAGTCACGCATTCTTCGTAAATCACGGGTCTGGGCTAGGCTGTTCGTGTTTATGTTCATAGATCACGCAACGAGAGTAGAACTGTTCATAGCATCACGTAAAATGATGACGAAAATTTTGTGCGGAAACTTTAAAAAGAGTTTTCTCGAATGAGAAAAAATAGCTTCAAGAAAGATCTTCCGGCACTTCTTCCACGCGNTTAACAATAGTTTTCCAACAAATTATCCATGTAATCAAGCTGTACATTACAAAGGCAACACATTTGTGGTCATTTTGGATAATTTATTGGAAAACTTAAGTTAACCTCCAAGATTCTTGTTTATTAAATTTGTGGAAAGTTTTGTTGGGTGGCCTTGGTTGGAGTAGCTACACTGTATTTTTTTTTTTTTTTATAACGTGACACAAAGTTTCATTATATCAGCGGTAGACTTTTCTCTTGTACTGTTGGTTATAATGTAATTTATTTGTAAACCTGGGTCGGGTTGTTCAAATCCAGTTTAAGCTAACCCAGGATGTTTCAGCGAAGTTTTCTGTTTATATTGTTTGTACTCTAGTTTCAAGTTTGAATTATCTCAAACAATGCAAAACATAAGAAGTGAAAAGCATTTTTATACTGAAAAAATTAATAGTTTGCTTTGAAATTTTTGAACCTGGGTTAAGTTTAACAGGCTTTCAAATCACTCGGCTCTGTAAATTAATTCTCCAACACTTGAAATAAGCCATATTTTTTATTATTATTATTTTGTCAGGCCTGATATGTACAATAGTCATTCAACTGATAAGTTAGCTGAAGAAACTAGGGCTTGGTGCATACAAGTAAGGAGTGCATAGAAGAAAGACCTGTTGACTGTATGGCCAAGCATGGGATTCACTGTCGGTAAATTTGGATTCAACCAGTTGAAGATTCTGAGGGTTATACTGATTTTGAGGGTGATATCGACCGATAGACCCAGTCGTCTTCATACAACACACGGCATAGGGCAAGGTTGGGGAGCACAGGGTGATGGGAATTGGGAAGCTTTCTCCCAACCCATCTCCCTCTGTGCTCCGACCTCACTCTGTGTCACACGCTGTATGAAGTTGTATGAAAACTAGTCAGCTGACACCCTGAGTTACTATGACGAGTGATCAAATTCATCAACAAAGAACACATTTGTTTTAGGATGACTATCGTTTTTCTGTACCTGTGTGGACCAATATGTGAGACCATTTTCAGAAAATTTGCTGCCATCAGCCTTCTTATCTTGAAGCTTCCTTGAAGTTACTGAGGGATTTCTTGTCTTTCTTCCATGCACATACCAGCCCTTCAATATTTTTTATTAAAATAACTTTAATTTGTTCACTCCCTGCATTTTGGTTTATAATGGTTATAATTGTAGGCTTTGGACTGCAATCCTTTTAGAGTTCCTTCTAAAAATGAGACTCTGTGCCCTTGTTTTCAATGACTGATTGGTGACTTGGCCATTTCTTGTTGACAATTCACTCGGAAAACTTGGGTTCATAGTCTAATTGTTAAATAGCAAATATTGAAAAAGTGAGGAAAGACATCCACACTGTCTCTACGCAGACTTGTTTAAAATGTTAACATGGTTCTGCGGATGGTTTTTCAAAATGGCAAATCTTTACTTTTTGACACCATGTACTATCCATTTCATTGTCTATCTATTGTATAATTGCTTTCTGAATGTAACATTGAGAAGTTTAGACTGTACCAGTATAATTAGTCACTAAATATTAGAGAAGTATTTTAACTTTATTTACATTTTTCTATTTACAATAAAGGATGTTACTGTTCTGTTATGCAGGGAAAGAGATTTGCTATTCTGCAAAAGTCGTTCTACCCAATAGGCCCCTTGCGACTAAGCTATCACGTGACCTACTTTTCATAAATTATGGGTTGTAACTTAGAGAATGCCATAAATTGGAAAAAGCATGTCAAAAACATCAAAATAGCCAAGCTTGAGGCTCCTGGCATTGAAGAATGAAAGTTAATGACGGTTGGAATTTAAAAGAAAAATAAGATTTGTAATGAAAAAGTTGTTGGAGAGCAAGACCTTGCTCTTCAGTAACATTTTCCAAAAATATTCTCTAACTCTACCAAAAATTCAAACTTCCATATGAACTTATTCTTTAAAGCCACGTCCCTCAAACTTGGCCATATTGTTATGTTTGATGCGCTCTTTCCATTTCTGGCGTTCTTAAAGTTATATACATATATAGATTTTTTAGCAACCGATTAAACCGCGAGCTTCTGAGCTGAGTGGCGTAATCGTTCCCTACATTTGCAAATCCGGGCTCGACTACACAATACTCGCTGATCACTGTGGGCTCCTCTGAACTAATTTTTACGCACGAAGTAAATATTTCTGCTTAAAAAAAAAAACTTAAATCTATGCAGTACGTGAATGATTCGGCAAACCCGTCCCCAGAGCCTTCGTTCCTCCCACCTGGGGGACAGAGGAAAGGGCGGTTATGGGGAGGTGGGGTAGGGGTTAAATACGACACCTATTTGTTTTCTTTCGGGGGGTGCCGCATTTTTAGTAAAATTCGTGGCACAATCAAAATATATCAATAAAATAGAATCCAAACAGAAATAGAGACCAACGACACGCGGTACGGGTATCAAGTTTTCTTGACTTCTTTCAACAAAACAGGTGGGGTTTTCTATAAACTGTTCGTCAGTCGTTGATTAACTGGGCGTTGTCGAAAGGTTATTTTTGGCAGTTGGGATGCGCTTTAGTGACTGGTGATGTTGTGGAGTGGAGAGGTGGCCGTTGTAGAGAATTTAAAAGAAGAGCTAATGTAAGGACTGTACACCGGGACAGAATTAAGTCGCGTTGAAGAGAGGAGGCCAGTAGCGAAGGACTGACTGTATAGAAAACGCTCGCTCCCCTGCGGCTCGTATTTTTTCTAAATGTCCGTCTTATTCTCAAATCGCCGTCATGTTTCAGACATAATAATATACATGAACAAATGACTCGATTCTGATTGGGTGAGAGCAATGAAGTTCAAGTGTAACACAGTGCAAAAAGTGTAACACCAGTGCACATCACACAACGGAATTCTGGATTATGATTGGCTGAAAGACAATAAGAAATTTTCTAAGCCAACGATATCACGTGGTGCAGAAGGCGACAAACGTATTAAACCACCAGAGATTTCTTTAATCTTTACTGTAGTTGATTAGTAGATTCTGAAGAGTGGATCTCTGTGGCTTGGAAAAACTAATACGATGAAGCTTGAATACAATTGAATGTTCGCAATACTGATCGCAGCTGAAATCGAAACCCAAAATTCTAATCCTAAAACGAACTATTCATGAGCTGTCAAATAAAGGAAAACGAACTATTCATGAACTGTCATATACAGGAAACCGCAATCGCTAAACTATTTAAGACCACAGAGAAACAGAGAAAAATAATCACGCATATTTCGCGATAATCACGCATTGTTCAAAGTCACGCATTCTTCGTAAATCACGGGTCTGGGCTAGGCTGTTCGTGTTTATGTTCATAGATCACGCAACGAGAGTAGAACTGTTCATAGCATCACGTAAAATGATGACGAAAATTTTGTGCGGAAACTTTAAAAAGAGTTTTCTCGAATGAGAAAAAATAGCTTCAAGAAAGATCTTCCGGCACTTCTTCCACGCGAATTTTTTCATGTTTATATTATTAATAAAAGCGGCTCGTGCAATTTAAGCTTTTGAAAAACTCACTCGTGCAAATTAATTCCAAATTGAACTCGAAACCGTATGATTACCTATACGAATAATGCACTGCTGTGACTTCTTTTAAAATTCGTCAATTAAAAGCACGCAGCTGAAATATGCTGAGACTAGTTAAAAATAGTGGCGTTTTGTCCTGATCGCCCTAAAGGAGACCAAAATCCGATATTTACACCTCCAAGCAAGAAAAGAGTATCCCCGAACTTTTCACATAGGAGTCTCCTCTCCCGGGAGGTCTAAACATCAACTGCTGTCGAATGAAGCCACTGGAGTTATCTTCTTTCGGACTACATAGCTATCACGGCCATAATTAAGCTAAAGGGGATTACAACATAATTTTTCTTTACATTTTATGCTATATGTTCTGTCTATTGAGACATAAAAGATGCTTTCAGTTGGCGCGGGCAGCCTGGGATTTGCACATCCACAGGAGCCTGGACTCCTGACATCCTCTATTACTAGTGCCCAGGTCCCAAATTATTTACGGGGTAAGATTTTTTTTTTCACGTCTATCAATCTCTCTTTTGCTCTGAACCCGAGGCAAGAACGAAAAAACCGAGCGAACGAACACGATATTCCAGGGGCCGGAAACGTTCGTTCTCAGTTTTTGCGTTCTTCTTCCCGAATTTTTAAGCAAAAGAGAGACAGCTTGCAGGCCATTACGTCTGTGACTGGATGAATTTCTTTATGATATTTCTAATGCTCTTAAGGTTAGACTACTCTGCTCTAAGCCTGCGAACAGGCTCTCACACGTTGCAACACGAGCAAAGGTGAAGACTCGGGAGACAAGTGAGGGAGCGAAAAGAGTCGTTGAGGGGTCTGGCACGACGTCTTCTCCCAGCTTCTCCTTTTTTGTGTCGCAGCGCTAGAGTGCCTGCTCGAAGGCTTCACTGCTCCCCACCCCTCATAGAAATGCTGGACAATACTGGTTATCTACTCCTTAATTTTCCTGAGTGCATAGAAGGACATTTACACATATTAGTGAAGACCCTCGAGACTGAATGTATGCAAGCGCAAGTTCGCAACTATTTAAAAAAACACTTTAAAAGTTCAGTATTAATTAATGCAACATCCATTATTTACTTACTCTCATACTAAGTTTTCTTTTCAGCCTAAAATAAATGTATTTAATTCAAGGACATTTAATTAGTTTCTTGCCCTGTCCTCTTTCCTGTCAATAATTTTTATTTGAATAGTACTGTATTCCAATCCCCAAAGTAAAAAAATTAGAAAATAAAGAAAAAATACAAATAAAAAAATGTTACATTGTAGATGTTCGCGCGCATGTCATCTTTCTTTAACGTTTGATGCTGGGCATTTTGTTTCTTTATAGAACGTCCAAAGGTCATGCAGGCCCATCTTTTGTTACCTTTTTGATACTGATATTCACGCGCAATATTTGCACAGTTTATTCTCAGTTTAATTTCTCATGAATGTGTCTGTTAAATGTAACAGAGAAATCTTAATGTTCTTACGTTCTCACAACAAACAACTCGAGAGAAAAGCTAAGACCCCCACGCGAAAAAGTACGAAAAAGCCTAAAAATTTTAATAACTCTTTCACAGTCATTGTGTACAATACAAAGGAACAATACTTGGTCGTTAGGCGATATTTACAAATTATTAGCTGTCTTTTGAAGTGTGGCAATGAATTTCACTTTTGTTTTTGAAATTACAATAAGTGTTTTTGGCCACAACAAAAAAAGGAACCTTTTTTTTGTTCCTGCATTCCTCACCATGGTCGCCATAAGGGGTCACTTTCCGTTCTTAAAACTTGTGGATCGGGAACGTGAAGTCCTTGAAAAGCTTGAAAATCGTTGACTGATTTATTAAACACCGGGATTAATTGCGGGCTAGAAACCATCGCTAAGGGAGCGTTTTGGCTCGGTACGAGCACGGCGGCAATTTTCCCGTTCGCTAACTGTCCTGGAACGATTTGAAATTGAGTGGTGTTCAACAGATTAGGGGCTGCGTCTAAACCTTTCGTGTGACTTGGAGTAGAGAGAGCGAAACTTGTTGATCCTAGAGGAGAGGCCATTGGCAAGGTGATGGCTTGAGATTGCGGCAACGGAAGCTTTTCCGGTGTCGGCGGCGCTGGTTTCATCATAGGCGCGCAGGGTGTACAGTACGAAGCGAGATGCGAGAGTAGCCGCGCGCGGACTTGCACGTCCACTCCATCAAATGACATAAGATATCGATTCACCTCGTTGACGCATTCGTTGTAACCGGCTCGATACCGCGCCATGGTGTTAGGATCTGCGGTGTTATTCACACGAGCTGTGGAAATCAAAACAAAAATATTGTATAACGCGTACATTATTCAGCCTTTGTTTTTCTTGCGTGTAACAATCATCAGCAGCTAAAAGTACGAGCGTTTAAAGCTAAACTGTTCACGATTAGCTCAGAATCATTCAGTATTGTACAAAAACAGAAACACGCTAACACACTGACGCACTGCTGGAATTCGATAATTAAAGATTCCCCGTTTTGCTTACCTGTCATATTCTGATTCCTCACTGAGCGTAAATAACGCACCGTCATTTCTAAAATGTCCGCTTTCTCTAATTTGGAGTAGCAAGACGTCTGAAAGAATGGATTCAAAGATTTGGTATTTTTAATTGTCTTGAAAACGTTAAACAGAACGCGTTGTCGAAGGTAAACCATGTAACAAACAACACCCAGACCCGGCCCATTTGCTTTGGTCACAAATGTAACTTGAAAAGGCTTGAAAGTATCGTGTTGTACTTTGTAGTCAAAGGCTCTTGGCCAAAGACATTTCAGTAAAAGGTGATCTACAATTTTTGTTTCTTTTTTGGTGATAGGGAAACCTATTCCTATATCGGAGTCATACAAAGCCATATTTTGACTTACATCTTTTTTCATAGCTTCTAAGATGAGGTTTTTTAACTCGTTCAGGCTCTGATTTATCCGTGCCCTTCGTCTTTTCTCCATTAAGGGCTTGGAGGACTGAAAAACAAAATCAAAGAGAACAGTGCTGTTTTAAAATTCTCTGGCCTCGGCAAAGGGGCTCACTGTTAATCAAGGTTGAAGTTGTACAAAAGCAAATTTTTCTGAAGTTTAGAAAGTTGTCAAACTTTTACCTTTCGTCTGTCGTCACTGCTGGGGTTGCCCGAAGGACTTTCGAGACCCATTTTCACAAAAACACGTTTGTGCTTAGGCAAATTTTCCACCTTTCTCAGAGTTTAGTCTTTCCGACACAGCCTTCTCTACACTAAATGCTTTTATGCCTCTGATTTTTCAGACCGTGGGAAAATTATCAGAGACATTTTGCTAATTCAAAAGTTATACCAGAGGGCCAATGAGAGCGCTTGTACTATTCGTTGTAAATAAACTTTTGCCAACAGAGCGTGAGAACAGGCCACTCCGATTGGTCGAGGGCTTCTTAGGACGTGGGACAAGAGTGACTTGACTGTTGTTTAGAAGCTAATTACGTGGTACCTCTGCCATGATCCGTGAGCACACAAAAGTTCTTATTAAAACTTCATTAACCCAAAACAGACAAACTCATTGTTGTTTGTAAACCGTGTCCGTGGGAACGGGTCTCGCTGATTGGTCGAGCCGCGCGACAGAGCTCGTGCACTACAATGCCAACAGAGATGTTTAAATAAAACATTCTTTGACTACAATAACTGTTTATTTCTGCACGTGCCGAAGCATTGTCCGGGCATGATTCGCACTCGATGGGGTTCACTTATAAGATGACCCGACCGCGAGCGAAACAAAAGAGGCTGAAATTTTCCCACGATCAGCCCCGGTGCGAATGTTTATTCATGAACAATGTATGCACAACAATTGCCGCTTAAAAACAAGTCTAAACAGATACCCGAAGAAAAATTTACACAACGCTCTCTGTAAAGTGTACAGTACAATGTTTGTGGAGAGAGAAGGCGACTCAGTTATGAAATCAAGCCGTTAGTTTGTTTAAGAAAAATTCTAAAAAGGTTAGTGCTTTCGACAAAACTGTGGATGCTCCACTGGTTCGTGTTGATTATTAGCCGCACAAAAGCTCTACTCGCGTTGGGGAATGACAACTGTCAAAAGATTTCAATGCGATTCTTTCAGGTCTTAAGCTGTGATATATTTCTATGACAATCGAAACAATACGTAGAACAACTAACATTTCAATCTCTCGCGAGGGGTGGAAGACTATAATAAAATTGCAATTTCATTTTCATGAGAATTAAATCTCTGGAGATTGTGTATAATACGTTATTCAAATTCGTTTGCGTCAATGATCAAAAACTCGATCTGTGGCATTTAGGAGCGACATGTGTTTTTAAACAAGTCTTGCGTCAAAGCTTCTGTAAGGGAAAAAACTGTCAAAGAACTAATTTGTTCTAATTGTCGAAACCTAGTTTGTTTGTAATTCGATCTTTTTCACTGCATTCCTAACATTCTACATTGCTTAGGTCATTGTAAATACAATGGCGCAAAATGAGACTATGACGTCATCATTTTGCTGCATCAAGTTTAACCTCGTTCCCAGGCTCTCTCTCCTCTGTCTTCCTTGATTCTTTCTTCCAACGACCTAGGGAGGCAAAGGAGAGAGAGCCTGCGAACGGATTGCATCAAGTTGTGCAAAGATAGAGTTTGTTGGAACGAAGGTTTTGGAAAGGGGTAGCTTTAAAAATACGAACTTCGTAAAAACATAAATCCATGATTCAACATGACAAAGAAACAAAATACGAAGATAGCCAGCACATAGGCTGAATTTATTGACTTAATATAAGCATAAATAAAGATCCCATTTAATGAGAAAATTCTTTGTCTTCATCGAATATAAGTTAACTCTCCCATCTCCCAGACAACTTACACAGTAAGGAAAAGTGATTACTCGGCAATCATTTACAAATTAGAAGTAACGGAAGTTGCGAAAAATGTTAACAACCGTATTTTTTAAAAAAAATTTGAAAAATAATATTTAAATAGGTATTAAAACATCATTCAAGATTTTAAATAAACACATGACCAGGATATATGACGTACAAATTGTCTCTCCTTGATAAAAGGGTCAGTGATAAACGAATGAAGTATTTTGACTTCTTTAGAATATTGACGTTTTTTGATGTCAGGAATTCTAAAATATACTTTGTTATCTTGCGGTTTTTGGGATGTTGGAATAAAAATTTGCAATTATAGAAATCTGTGAAAGCTGCGCTTGAAATTTGAATCCAAATAAAATGTTGGATAAATAAGATACCCTAATAGCTTAATCATAGTTTTTAGCAGAATGTTTGAATTGCAAAATTATTAAAGAGCGGCGTAATAGACCTTATTGTTTACTCGTTAAAATACGAGTTTTCTTTTTTGTAGCTGAACCAGCATGAGAAATGTTGGCGGAAACATTAAAAAGGAAAAAAAATGTAGATCAGTCTTCAAGATGAAGGATAAGAATTGCAATGTTATCCACAAAATGCCACTGTTATTTGGTTTTCCATCGATTGTTTGTTAAGGCATGGGTTTCCAGTACAGGGACCTGGTATCTAAACCTAACGGCATGACTTCCGGCGGAGAGACGCCATGCTTTGGATCTTTACCAAATACGGGAAGGAAGTTAGGTTGCGTAGCAACAGCGGAGCCTGAATCCATCAAAAAAGGGTTAACTGTTGGCAAAAGAACTGCCACTTTGCCATTAGTTAAAGGATAAGACGCTAAATGATATTGAGTGGAGGGTAGAACGCCAGGGCTGTTTTGAGGAAGAAACGAGAAATTTGCTGGCGAAGACATTGAAATGGGTGGCTTGGGCAGTATGGGTTGATTGGGAAACGAGACTTGAGGCAGCTGTCCTCTTGTATCAGCGGCGTCCACCGGCTTAGTTACCAGGCAACGAGTCGCTAGGTGCTCTAAGAGCCTACTCCTAAGTGTAGAGTCAGTGTTTCCCAGGGCTGTCAGGACTCGAGTGATCTCTGATGCGCACTGATTGAAGCCCGCCCTATAGTTGGCCACGGACGCCGGATTTGAACTTGAACTACCTGTTGAAAGGAGCAAAGAAAAATTATATATAGAGACGTTTGGTAACTGATTCATTATCGAGAACTTTGCATCTAATTAATGTGAAGGCTGGTTGTACAGCAGGGGACAAATTTAACACTGTAGACATTCACATGTAGCGAAGACAATGAATTCCTCATTTCGTTCACACAAGGGGTTCTGTTACAGACATAAAATGAGCTTTGACCGTTCACAGAAAAATATTTTCAACCCAGCGTTTCATCGTTAACTAACGATGCTGTCATACACTTGCAAGAGGAATGCTTAACATAGATAGATATCAACAGATATCTTTCAAGTTTCAGCTCAATGGAATATTTGACCTCATTGTGCATCAAACAATTAAACAACACAGTCTTTATACCGAAATAATGGTAAATCAAAATATCACGCCTTTTAATGGTAGTTATCTTAAACTTAGTACTATCTGCAAATGAACGAGGCAAGAACAAGCTAACCTGTGATTTGTTGATTTTTAAGATTTTTTAAATGTTGAACTGTCATTTCTAAAATATCAGCCTTCTCCAGCTTGGAATAGCACGAATTCTGAAAAAAAGTTTTTCAAAGAGATTATTAACAAAAACAAAGAAATAACCATATCTAAAACCTTGAGGGAACGTTTAATGGTAATCCCAGATAAATCTATGGAAATGAGGTAAGCTGCTTTGCTATGAATTAAAATTCTGCTTGAAAACATCGTTTTAAAATGCTTGTTGCTACTTTTTGCTATTAATGACATTAATGATCTCTCGATTAAGGCTCCCTTCCCTAAATCAAAGTTATCACTATTATATGTATCATGAAAACCTTGTCAATCAACAAAAAGTGATTGTTAGGCAGGGGATACTTAAAAAATTCAGCAGCAGTCCAAGCGAAAGCTTGGGAAAGTTATTTCAAGAATTTTTACTTTCTGAGGCCAAATGTTCAGTTGAAATCATGGTTAGCAATCAGTTAAACTCGAAAACTACAGTACGTCTAAAGCTCCATAACTTTCTCATGGTGCGAAAGTAGTTTTAACATCGCCACAAAAATTAGAAGTTTTGAAAACTTTAAACTTTTCAGTAATTAATTAGCAGCCTCATATGAATTTTAAACAGTTTGCGAAAAGGACCAAAAATTCTTAAATAAAGCTGAGAAAGTTATTCCAAAGCTTCTAAATGGTACTTACATCTTTTTTCATGGCTTCCAGTATTAACGTTTTCAGTTCGTTTAAACTTTCGTTAATTCTTGCTCGTCTTCGTTNTCATGAATGTGTCTGTTAAATGTAACAGAGAAATCTTAATGTTCTTACGTTCTCACAACAAACAACTCGAGAGAAAAGCTAAGACCCCCACGCGAAAAAGTACGAAAAAGCCTAAAAATTTTAATAACTCTTTCACAGTCATTGTGTACAATACAAAGGAACAATACTTGGTCGTTAGGCGATATTTACAAATTATTAGCTGTCTTTTGAAGTGTGGCAATGAATTTCACTTTTGTTTTTGAAATTACAATAAGTGTTTTTGGCCACAACAAAAAAAGGAACCTTTTTTTTGTTCCTGCATTCCTCACCATGGTCGCCATAAGGGGTCACTTTCCGTTCTTAAAACTTGTGGATCGGGAACGTGAAGTCCTTGAAAAGCTTGAAAATCGTTGACTGATTTATTAAACACCGGGATTAATTGCGGGCTAGAAACCATCGCTAAGGGAGCGTTTTGGCTCGGTACGAGCACGGCGGCAATTTTCCCGTTCGCTAACTGTCCTGGAACGATTTGAAATTGAGTGGTGTTCAACAGATTAGGGGCTGCGTCTAAACCTTTCGTGTGACTTGGAGTAGAGAGAGCGAAACTTGTTGATCCTAGAGGAGAGGCCATTGGCAAGGTGATGGCTTGAGATTGCGGCAACGGAAGCTTTTCCGGTGTCGGCGGCGCTGGTTTCATCATAGGCGCGCAGGGTGTACAGTACGAAGCGAGATGCGAGAGTAGCCGCGCGCGGACTTGCACGTCCACTCCATCAAATGACATAAGATATCGATTCACCTCGTTGACGCATTCGTTGTAACCGGCTCGATACCGCGCCATGGTGTTAGGATCTGCGGTGTTATTCACACGAGCTGTGGAAATCAAAACAAAAATATTGTATAACGCGTACATTATTCAGCCTTTGTTTTTCTTGCGTGTAACAATCATCAGCAGCTAAAAGTACGAGCGTTTAAAGCTAAACTGTTCACGATTAGCTCAGAATCATTCAGTATTGTACAAAAACAGAAACACGCTAACACACTGACGCACTGCTGGAATTCGATAATTAAAGATTCCCCGTTTTGCTTACCTGTCATATTCTGATTCCTCACTGAGCGTAAATAACGCACCGTCATTTCTAAAATGTCCGCTTTCTCTAATTTGGAGTAGCAAGACGTCTGAAAGAATGGATTCAAAGATTTGGTATTTTTAATTGTCTTGAAAACGTTAAACAGAACGCGTTGTCGAAGGTAAACCATGTAACAAACAACACCCAGACCCGGCCCATTTGCTTTGGTCACAAATGTAACTTGAAAAGGCTTGAAAGTATCGTGTTGTACTTTGTAGTCAAAGGCTCTTGGCCAAAGACATTTCAGTAAAAGGTGATCTACAATTTTTGTTTCTTTTTTGGTGATAGGGAAACCTATTCCTATATCGGAGTCATACAAAGCCATATTTTGACTTACATCTTTTTTCATAGCTTCTAAGATGAGGTTTTTTAACTCGTTCAGGCTCTGATTTATCCGTGCCCTTCGTCTTTTCTCCATTAAGGGCTTGGAGGACTGAAAAACAAAATCAAAGAGAACAGTGCTGTTTTAAAATTCTCTGGCCTCGGCAAAGGGGCTCACTGTTAATCAAGGTTGAAGTTGTACAAAAGCAAATTTTTCTGAAGTTTAGAAAGTTGTCAAACTTTTACCTTTCGTCTGTCGTCACTGCTGGGGTTGCCCGAAGGACTTTCGAGACCCATTTTCACAAAAACACGTTTGTGCTTAGGCAAATTTTCCACCTTTCTCAGAGTTTAGTCTTTCCGACACAGCCTTCTCTACACTAAATGCTTTTATGCCTCTGATTTTTCAGACCGTGGGAAAATTATCAGAGACATTTTGCTAATTCAAAAGTTATACCAGAGGGCCAATGAGAGCGCTTGTACTATTCGTTGTAAATAAACTTTTGCCAACAGAGCGTGAGAACAGGCCACTCCGATTGGTCGAGGGCTTCTTAGGACGTGGGACAAGAGTGACTTGACTGTTGTTTAGAAGCTAATTACGTGGTACCTCTGCCATGATCCGTGAGCACACAAAAGTTCTTATTAAAACTTCATTAACCCAAAACAGACAAACTCATTGTTGTTTGTAAACCGTGTCCGTGGGAACGGGTCTCGCTGATTGGTCGAGCCGCGCGACAGAGCTCGTGCACTACAATGCCAACAGAGATGTTTAAATAAAACATTCTTTGACTACAATAACTGTTTATTTCTGCACGTGCCGAAGCATTGTCCGGGCATGATTCGCACTCGATGGGGTTCACTTATAAGATGACCCGACCGCGAGCGAAACAAAAGAGGCTGAAATTTTCCCACGATCAGCCCCGGTGCGAATGTTTATTCATGAACAATGTATGCACAACAATTGCCGCTTAAAAACAAGTCTAAACAGATACCCGAAGAAAAATTTACACAACGCTCTCTGTAAAGTGTACAGTACAATGTTTGTGGAGAGAGAAGGCGACTCAGTCATGAAATCAAGCCGTTAGTTTGTTTAAGAAAAATTCTAAAAAGGTTAGTGCTTTCGACAAAACTGTGGATGCTCCACTGGTTCGTGTTGATTATTAGCCGCACAAAAGCTCTACTCGCGTTGGGGAATGACAACTGTCAAAAGATTTCAATGCGATTCTTTCAGGTCTTAAGCTGTGATATATTTCTATGACAATCGAAACAATACGTAGAACAACTAACATTTCAATCTCTCGCGAGGGGTGGAAGACTATAATAAAATTGCAATTTCATTTTCATGAGAATTAAATCTCTGGAGATTGTGTATAATACGTTATTCAAATTCGTTTGCGTCAATGATCAAAAACTCGATCTGTGGCATTTAGGAGCGACATGTGTTTTTAAACAAGTCTTGCGTCAAAGCTTCTGTAAGGGAAAAAACTGTCAAAGAACTAATTTGTTCTAATTGTCGAAACCTAGTTTGTTTGTAATTCGATCTTTTTCACTGCATTCCTAACATTCTACATTGCTTAGGTCATTGTAAATACAATGGCGCAAAATGAGACTATGACGTCATCATTTTGCTGCATCAAGTTTAACCTCGTTCCCAGGCTCTCTCTCCTCTGTCTTCCTTGATTCTTTCTTCCAACGACCTAGGGAGGCAAAGGAGAGAGAGCCTGCGAACGGATTGCATCAAGTTGTGCAAAGATAGAGTTTGTTGGAACGAAGGTTTTGGAAAGGGGTAGCTTTAAAAATACGAACTTCGTAAAAACATAAATCCATGATTCAACATGACAAAGAAACAAAATACGAAGATAGCCAGCACATAGGCTGAATTTATTGACTTAATATAAGCATAAATAAAGATCCCATTTAATGAGAAAATTCTTTGTCTTCATCGAATATAAGTTAACTCTCCCATCTCCCAGACAACTTACACAGTAAGGAAAAGTGATTACTCGGCAATCATTTACAAATTAGAAGTAACGGAAGTTGCGAAAAATGTTAACAACCGTATTTTTTAAAAAAAATTTGAAAAATAATATTTAAATAGGTATTAAAACATCATTCAAGATTTTAAATAAACACATGACCAGGATATATGACGTACAAATTGTCTCTCCTTGATAAAAGGGTCAGTGATAAACGAATGAAGTATTTTGACTTCTTTAGAATATTGACGTTTTTTGATGTCAGGAATTCTAAAATATACTTTGTTATCTTGCGGTTTTTGGGATGTTGGAATAAAAATTTGCAATTATAGAAATCTGTGAAAGCTGCGCTTGAAATTTGAATCCAAATAAAATGTTGGATAAATAAGATACCCTAATAGCTTAATCATAGTTTTTAGCAGAATGTTTGAATTGCAAAATTATTAAAGAGCGGCGTAATAGACCTTATTGTTTACTCGTTAAAATACGAGTTTTCTTTTTTGTAGCTGAACCAGCATGAGAAATGTTGGCGGAAACATTAAAAAGGAAAAAAAATGTAGATCAGTCTTCAAGATGAAGGATAAGAATTGCAATGTTATCCACAAAATGCCACTGTTATTTGGTTTTCCATCGATTGTTTGTTAAGGCATGGGTTTCCAGTACAGGGACCTGGTATCTAAACCTAACGGCATGACTTCCGGCGGAGAGACGCCATGCTTTGGATCTTTACCAAATACGGGAAGGAAGTTAGGTTGCGTAGCAACAGCGGAGCCTGAATCCATCAAAAAAGGGTTAACTGTTGGCAAAAGAACTGCCACTTTGCCATTAGTTAAAGGATAAGACGCTAAATGATATTGAGTGGAGGGTAGAACGCCAGGGCTGTTTTGAGGAAGAAACGAGAAATTTGCTGGCGAAGACATTGAAATGGGTGGCTTGGGCAGTATGGGTTGATTGGGAAACGAGACTTGAGGCAGCTGTCCTCTTGTATCAGCGGCGTCCACCGGCTTAGTTACCAGGCAACGAGTCGCTAGGTGCTCTAAGAGCCTACTCCTAAGTGTAGAGTCAGTGTTTCCCAGGGCTGTCAGGACTCGAGTGATCTCTGATGCGCACTGATTGAAGCCCGCCCTATAGTTGGCCACGGACGCCGGATTTGAACTTGAACTACCTGTTGAAAGGAGCAAAGAAAAATTATATATAGAGACGTTTGGTAACTGATTCATTATCGAGAACTTTGCATCTAATTAATGTGAAGGCTGGTTGTACAGCAGGGGACAAATTTAACACTGTAGACATTCACATGTAGCGAAGACAATGAATTCCTCATTTCGTTCACACAAGGGGTTCTGTTACAGACATAAAATGAGCTTTGACCGTTCACAGAAAAATATTTTCAACCCAGCGTTTCATCGTTAACTAACGATGCTGTCATACACTTGCAAGAGGAATGCTTAACATAGATAGATATCAACAGATATCTTTCAAGTTTCAGCTCAATGGAATATTTGACCTCATTGTGCATCAAACAATTAAACAACACAGTCTTTATACCGAAATAATGGTAAATCAAAATATCACGCCTTTTAATGGTAGTTATCTTAAACTTAGTACTATCTGCAAATGAACGAGGCAAGAACAAGCTAACCTGTGATTTGTTGATTTTTAAGATTTTTTAAATGTTGAACTGTCATTTCTAAAATATCAGCCTTCTCCAGCTTGGAATAGCACGAATTCTGAAAAAAAGTTTTTCAAAGAGATTATTAACAAAAACAAAGAAATAACCATATCTAAAACCTTGAGGGAACGTTTAATGGTAATCCCAGATAAATCTATGGAAATGAGGTAAGCTGCTTTGCTATGAATTAAAATTCTGCTTGAAAACATCGTTTTAAAATGCTTGTTGCTACTTTTTGCTATTAATGACATTAATGATCTCTCGATTAAGGCTCCCTTCCCTAAATCAAAGTTATCACTATTATATGTATCATGAAAACCTTGTCAATCAACAAAAAGTGATTGTTAGGCAGGGGATACTTAAAAAATTCAGCAGCAGTCCAAGCGAAAGCTTGGGAAAGTTATTTCAAGAATTTTTACTTTCTGAGGCCAAATGTTCAGTTGAAATCATGGTTAGCAATCAGTTAAACTCGAAAACTACAGTACGTCTAAAGCTCCATAACTTTCTCATGGTGCGAAAGTAGTTTTAACATCGCCACAAAAATTAGAAGTTTTGAAAACTTTAAACTTTTCAGTAATTAATTAGCAGCCTCATATGAATTTTAAACAGTTTGCGAAAAGGACCAAAAATTCTTAAATAAAGCTGAGAAAGTTATTCCAAAGCTTCTAAATGGTACTTACATCTTTTTTCATGGCTTCCAGTATTAACGTTTTCAGTTCGTTTAAACTTTCGTTAATTCTTGCTCGTCTTCGTTTCTCCATGATCGGTTTTGACGCCTGAAGACGGAATTTCGAAAAGATTGTTGCATTTGTAAGTCAGTTACAAGAAGACGTCCTCAATGACAGGAAAATCAATGTTCCCAGCAAAAATGACTCTAACTCACTTTTCTGCGATCTTTCGATTTTCCTTCTTCGCTCATTTTTGCTTGAAATTGGATACCTGCGATCTCTGGCGACGACGGGCAACACAAAAGTCGTATAACTTTTCAAATTCGGACTTATCACGGGATTTTAAGAAGAATGTAAGCCTTTGTCTCCGCCTTTGTTTATGATAACCGAGGCATTGTAATGAGCGTGGGAAAAAGATCCACAATTCTCAACACACCCCTACTGTCCAATTAAAACCCGCTATCTTGTTTAAAAACAAGCACAGTCAACAATCCAAACCGGAGAAAACTATGTCGGGGCGAATTAAGGTCGTGAGAGTGCTGCCATCCGATTGGTCGAGGCACCGACCAGCACGCTTGAATGCTACGACTCGCGTGCGAAAAATAACACAACAACAATATATGGGCAGGTAAGTTCATTGCTGTGTAAAGCGTCTCCATAGTGTGGTCTACTAGGGTCGTGGGAACAGATCGCGCTGATTGGCCAGGCGGCTCCTTAGGTCTGTGTCGCAGCGTTTTGATGGTTTCACGGGTCATGTCCCTCGAAAGCGATCTTAGCTCCAGCGTCGTTGGACACGTTCCTGAATATTGTACACGGTGTAATGTTTCTATAAATAATAAGCAAACAAAGTGACATTATTTATACATCACACGAAAGCTCTGTCAGTTGATATTCTCTTAAACAAGAGTGAATGTCTTTTGGGTCAAGTGGGTGCATCAAATGAAGAAACGGAGAAACTTGCACTGTAAAACAGGCGAAACGACGTAAGAACATTCTGCTCCATTCAGTCACCGAAATTTCTCAAGGCTGCTGAAACGCGATTTTCATTTCTGCTAACGTAGCTATTTGAATACACGGCTTGTCATTAGTCCATTCAACCGCAACATGAGTGCGTTAATTGGTTAACTTATATTAAACTACTCCCTACATTACATCAGTTTGGCGTTGAAAAGAAATTAATAGAGCACTCGTGAACCGGTCCGACATCATCATTTGTTAGCTTGGATAATGCTGCGGCACACGGAACAAAGAAACAAATTCTTCAACAAGAAACTCAACTTGCATCTCTAATTATCCACGGCTGTTCTAAAAAGGCCCTATGCACACCAAATGTCATCCACTCACCCTCACCGACCGTCAACGAATACATTCTTTGATAGTTCAAATTTTGGTACTCCTAGAAAACGGTTTTAGTGTGCTGAAAAGATAACCTTATTTTAGAATACACATGTTTATACATGCCACCAAATGTCTGGTCTGAAATAAGCCACTCCCCCTTATTGTAATCTCTATTCTATTAGTACCCCTCGAGAACGGTTTCCACATAATCGGCTGAAGAGAATACTCATTCGTTGTTAGAATTCGTCGGTTTATATGGCTTGCAGGAGTGACTGCTGAGGGAAACGCTGACAGAAGTTCTTTTTGTGGGCTCACACGTGTACTCCTGCGCGCCTTGTTCCAGAGATTTATTACGCACTGGAATAACACAAACGCCATCTCGAACTCCACTTTTTACATGTTTTTTGTAATGTTTAAGACATCGCCAGCATTGCTTGAAAATATGATGTTCTTAATGCGGAATGTCCCTAAATAGACACCAAAAAAGAGCATTATGGCAAAACATTTTACATAACTCGATGGACGATGTTCAAATCTCTTAATTGAAGTTCAGTGTTAAAGGGATGTATTTGTCATAGATGAAGCAAGCATGGCTTTGCGTGCAAACATCACGGACTTAATAAATTATGTTAAAGCCGACATGGGAAATTAGACAAGAATTTCCTTCAGAATATTAAACAAAATTGTTTAATTACAATATGTAGGCGTTAAATTCCTTCATATTTAACGCGATAACTTGCCTCGACTTGTATCCATACGAAAAACATTTTGCTGTAAAATCGAAGATGTGACAATATTATAATTATTGCTGGCTTCATTAATGAGGAATGTCTACTGTAAAGTAACACAGTTCAAAAATAAATCGGAAAAAAAAATTGATTTCATTCAAACCACTATTTCGCAGAGTATTGCTTAGTTTAGTTTGTGAAGATTCGAATGACGTTTATCCAAACGTCATCAGGGAACACTTTGCGTTTTTTAAATTGTTCATAACATTGCTCTTAATTGGCTAAGTCACTAAAATTGGGCCACGGAGAACCTTTACATTGAGAAAGATGTTGGCTTTACAAGTAATTTCTGTGGTCACACAATAGCTCCGACCTCGTTTAATTTCGTTACGTGAAATAACCATTTAGTTTGCAGTCGCAATGTTTTTGCGAAATCTCGATTGGGTCGTTTAACATAAAGCTGGAATATTCTTCAAGGAGCAAGCTATTTTAATTATATCTCAATGATTATTTCTCAATCGTAAAGTAATTTAACTGAACGTTTTTTCTGCAGACCTGGTGAATGAATGACATGAGACTTAAAGCTAAGAATCGCGATACTCGTGTTAGTCTTTATACAGCTCCAATAATGTTGGTCAGAAGTATGGTACTATGATTCAATTGACTGGTTCAGAATTAATTAAAGTTCATGTATTCTAGAACAAAGAGTACAAGGTTTTTTTACTAAATTGAATCACTCCCGTTGTTATCCCTGCAGTCATACAGAAAGACAACTTTGTTGACCTTTATTGTGCTGTTATAGGGAATGGAAGTATATCGATAAACTTCCATATCGTTGTAAAAAAAAAGCAGAGCTGATGGAAAAGAAATATGGAATAAAAAATATGTAGATTAAATGAACAGGTTTCAAAAACGGAAATTACTACGCATCGCTTCAGGCAGGTCTACGTGTGTAGGCAGCAGAAGTTGTAGACATTTTAGCGAAATCAGTTGCATCTCAAACTAATTAAGGCAGACATACAGACAGTATTCATTGTGCAAGATTCTTTAAGTTACGATTGAAAAAAACACAGTATTCGAATTAAACAACGTGGTTGGATTTTTTGGAGTTAAGTTAGAAAATGACTGAGTTAATTAAAAGGATGCCAATGAACAAAATAAGAAAGTCAGCCATGTTTATTGAGTTCTCTAGAACGTTGAAAACGCCCCCATGCGATAATTAATTTAACCTTTCATTATAACCGGCGTGTAAACTGAACAAAGAATCCCCGGCGTTTTTTAATATAGGCATTGAAAATCAACTGCCGTAAAAGTTTTGTCCCTTCAGGTCCTTCGATCAAGCAAGGAGAACTGAAGGCAGTTAGCTTGTCCGTGATTTCGGCTAAATAACGAAGAACCGAGATCGATCGTGAAGTTTAATAGGCAAATTGTGATTGCTTTAAATACATCTATAGCAAAATAAAGCAGAGATTTTACTTAGCACAACAAGTAGCAGGGAAGAAATTAAGAAAGGGAGGAGCAAAACGAAATTATGGCAACGAGAAAGCACTGAAACGGAAAATTAGGAACACCAGCAGCTGGAACGGAGCACGAGGTGAGGAACAAGGAATCGAGAAAGCAAGGAGTGGGGAACGAGGAACGTAGAGACGGAAATTAAACAAAAAAGCAAATTCTATCAGCCAACTTAAACTGGAGAGGGAATTAAAGCACACAATATAAAGCATGAGACGGAATGATGGGCATAAACCGGACCTATCACACGTGGAAACCTTGACTATTTGACTATAACAACATGACAAAATTGTGAAAAAAGACATTCACGATACTGATCGAAAATATCATTTTCAAATCCTATGAATACTAAATAGTTATGCTGTGACTGCTCCGAAAGCAGGCTGCAAACAAGCTGCTGATGTTTTTTAATCTCTTTGGTGACACCAATATATACTATGAGAGTGGTTAATTTACAATTGTATTCCGGAAAAAGGCAAACGCACCTTTTCAAAAGTTGTTCTCGGCCTTTGTGAAACGAGTTCTTTTATACTCTGGCCGAGAAGCTTTTGGAAACTGTTTGTGAAATTCGAAAATCCATTTAAGTCGTTGTCGGTGCCCAATCGGAAACGCCGAGGAATTTCCGTAATTCGTCGTTCATACATGAATCTCGCACCACAGGGAGCTCATTCAACAAGTGTTTGTGGCTTCTACGCACTAAAATATAAAGAAATGTTTAGTTAAAAGGCACAGTGTTACTATGATCTGTTATTATCACAGTAGTGCTTTGGCTCATAGCCAGTGAACTGGCTCTTTAATGGAGCATATTGTCAAGACCTCGAGCGCATAAAAACGAGCTCGATACCGAGGGCCAATATTTTATTCATTCCAGCTCGATCCCAAACAAGCTTCGGTTAACAGAGGAGGATACTTAGGACTTATGATACAAGATTTCAGTATCACTTGATTGAAATCTTTTAAAAGAACATCCAATAATCATGGGCCAGACCTGAAGCGCGCAATTCTACGTGAAAGTCGACCTCATGCCCGACGTTGAGGTTTTCAAAAACAAAAGAAAAGAAAAGAGAAGAAAGGAAAAGAACGTTGGAAGAAACAGAGGGACAAAAGAATTAAGTTAACCCAGTCCTGAGTAAGTAAAAGTAAGCCATGAAACTACAAGAAAACCGTCAAGAGTGGGCGCGAGGGATAACTGCCGGACAGTGTGCTGTCCGATATACTTGGAAAATATATTGCCCCTGTAATAGGGTAATCTGATTGGTTGATCCAAGTGCTTAATTGACCGCTGTATTGTAGTATGCCCGCTCGAGAAGAAAACCACGGCACTGGATCGAGTTAGTTCGTTTTGCCGATCGGGGAGTTAGACCTGATGTAATTATGAATATGTCATGAAACCATAACGTAACATACCGATTCAGTCACATTCAATCTAGAACTGTATCCCAAACTTGACGAACTTTCCCAGGTCGAACCTGGG